TCTCTCTCCTCCCATCTCTCTGGTCACTTGAGCCATCCTTGACTGCCAGGTCACGGTTGTCTCTGAGCCTCCAGTTGGGCCTGTGGCTGCCTGGTCTCAGTAGGAGCAGAGGCACTTGGTCCCAGGTGGATGGAGTTGGGATACAGTCTCCTGGAGGCTGAGCACTCGCTGGCCCCTTACCCGGCTCAGCTCTCTCTGACAAGGAGGAGCTGATCTCTTCCTGCTCTGGTTCGCCAGGCTGCTTTCCTCAGACTTCAACCTGCTCTAGGTTTTGGCTTTGAGAAATAAAAGCTGGGAAGAGTTCCCGGTGTACCTGGAATTCCTGCCTGACCCCCCAGACACTGGTGCTGACAGCCAGTCAGAGCTGCAGGTGTCAGCCTGACATGGAGCTGCCTGTGCATATCCTTCTCCAAACTCCATCGCAGAGAAGACATGACATTCAGCTAGCTTTCTGTGTCTAATGTACTCTACATCCAGCTGCTTAAAAAGAACCAATCCTTCTGGAAAATGCCAGGTGTCCAGATGGCCACCTGCTCAGAAAGTGTTGGTGTTGCTCAGTGCAAGGGCACAGGTGGGGTTTGGAGATGCTTGGTTTCATGAAGTCACACTTTTAATCAAATTTAATGGCCTTTCCTTCCTTGTGAGGAGGGTGAGTTTATAGGTTTCGCATTTTAATACTAGGTGCATGAGGCACCTAGGTAGTGAAAGCATCTTTCTCTTGTCCTGTGTAACGCAGAGGAACTTTCTGGAAGGAATCCTTTGGAATGAGGGGGAGCAACTGGGGGCAGTGGAGGGGAGAAATCTCAGGACCTATGGTGTGGTTTCAGGAGCAATGACAACCGTGAAGCCAGGAGGGAAGATGAAATTATGAAGTGAACTAATTTACTATTTATTTATTCATTCATTCATTCATTTAGTAGAAGAGCTGGGGTGTAAGCCAGAGGTGCAAGAGGTAAGAGGACTCACCAGAGACAGAGTGGGGAGCAGAATGGGCAGGTCCACTGAAATCTACTGTTGAGGGGAGCAGCAGACGAGACAGGAGAGGTCTGCTGCGCCATATGGGTCAGCTCCCTGGCCGGGGATCGAAGTCAGGCTGCACTGGCTGCAGATAGCTTGATAGCACTAAGACTTTAACCCCTGAGCCACCAGGGAGGCCCTAATTTATTAACTATTATACAAAGACGGCAAAGCTTGGAACCAACTTTTAGAAACTGTTCCTTTTCTTAAGTAGCGGGAAATAGGAGTATGGTGCAAACACTTCAGCTGGAAGGAGAGTCCCACTAACTCCCTGCAGTGCTTTAGACTTTCTATCTCTTGTTCCTGCCAGTTCCTTCTGCAGACGACATCACCATTCATGTTCCACGAAAACTAAGAAACCCCAGTGGGGATGATAAGGTAGTGATGGCTGCATCAATGTTCCTCAGACTCCCCACTGCCACGCACCTGTAACCCCACAGGTCCTACTCCAGCCCCAGGCAGATGTCCCCTGTCATCTGGACATGTGCCTCCGGATGAAGCAAGAGGCAGCCACAAATCTCATGTAATCTTGACTCTTGCTGTTTCTAAGAACAATTATAATAACTTATATTTTGAAAACCATGTCATGTAAGACAGGGGCACTCCATGCTAACTATGTTCCTTTGTTGCAGGAATGGGTGATGGCAAGACGGGAGTGCCTCTAGCTCAAGATCAGCCACCTCAAGAGTTACCACAATTGAAACAAACCACACATTCCAGAATACCTTTAAACATGTATTTACTTTGAGCCAATAAAAACAGCCAGAATCAAGTTGGGCACCTTTTCTTACCCCAGGTGAGTCGTGGGGCAAGTTCCACACACATTTAGCCATGCAGTTAATTCCAAAGGTTTTAAAGACTCGCCTTCTTCTATCACTCCAATCTTTTTTTTTTTTTGGTAAGTTTTTTTTTAATGTATTTATGCATACAAGATCTGGAGTGTAGGCCAGAGGTACAGGGGTTGAGAAGATTCACCAGAGACGGAGTGGGAAGCAGAACAGGAGGATCTACTGAAATCCACTGCTGAGGGGAGCAGTAGGAGACAGTAGAGGTCTGCTGCGCCCTATGTGGGTAGCTCCCTAGCCAAGGATCGAACTCATGCCAGAGTGGCTGGCAATAGCTTGATAGCACTGAGACTTAACTCCTGCACCACCAGGGAGGCCCTATTGCTTCAATCTTAGGGACAAACATCATCTTTCCTATTTAGCCAAGATAAGTATAAATGAAAAATAACTGTTGCTGTCACTGGGTGACTGACGAGTGCCTTGTCATTACTGCTCAAGTGCTTCCGCTGCAATACACACTGCCACCTGTCCACTCAGGACAACCACACAAAGATAGAATAAAAATCAAATCTGTTCTAAGACTGTAGGGTAAGGTAAAAGGTATCAGGCTTTTCTGCCCTCCCGCCATCAGGATAGATGAGGGAGCCCTGTGATCCTGGGTGCATGCCTGATGGCGGGCACCTGAAGTGGGTCCACCTGAGCTAAGAGACTGATTTATAAGGGTGGTGCAGCAGAGTGCGGTGTGGTGGGGTAGTGCGGTGTCAAGGGTGGAGGAGTGAAGTGTACGGAGGAGAACGACGACTACAAACCACGGCGAAGAGCATGTGGGTGCTAGAACTCTTCATAAACCTGCTCGGAATGGGTTGGTTGCTTTACAAAGGCCTTCTGATGAAATCTAATCTCAGATGGAAATCTTCTGTTTTTCATGATCCACAAGAGTTCTTTTAAACACAGGCTGCCAGGTAATGCTGGGACAGGTACACACTTCTGCCAAAAGTAGGATTTCCTTCAGTGACTAGTCAGACCACAATATGAAGTCATACTTCCTGGTATAAAATGACTAACATACTTTTAAAAGCCACAGACATATTGGCTCAGAAACATAGTAAGTACCTGACATACAGACCAGAAACCTCAAGAATCAAAGATTCCCATTCAAAAACAGTCAAATCTTCTTGTCCTTCAGGCACTAAATATGAAGTACCCTCTGGTGTGTGTGCAGAACTTCCTGCTACACACGCTGAAATCTGACTTGATCACATGGCATGAGGACTGGTTGTGAAGGACGATCTGAACACATTTTGAATGATAACAGAGCACACTGTTGGCATTCTCTTCCTCATTTGGGATTATGCTACAGTCTGTTATATACTTAAAAATCCTCATCAAGAGGTGCCTCCCTGGTGGCACAAGGGGTTAAGTCTCAGCACTATGAAGCTATATGCAGCCACTGCAGTATAAGTTTGATCCCCAGCCAGGAAGCTCACCCACATGGTGCAGCAGACCTCTCCTGTCTCGCCCACTGCTCCCCTCAGCAGTGGATTTCAGTCAATCTGCCTGTCCTACTCCCCACTCTGTCTCTGGTGAATCCTTTCACCTTCCCACACCTTTGGCCTATACCCCAGTTTCTTGTGTGTATAAATAAATCTTTTTTAAAACTCCTCTTCAAGTTACTACTTGGCAGTGAGAAATGCAATCCACTGATAATTAAACATGCAAACACTAATTTTACAAATACTTCCTTTTGTTAGGTGGCTTCATAATGCCACGGATGGTCTAGAACAGGACCGAGACCCTGGCTTCAGGACAAGGCACTCAGTCCCCAGCTGCTGATGGCCACAGTCCTCTCCCGCCTTTCTGCAGGGTAAGTGAAATGCACAGGCTTTTATGCCACTAGCCTCCGCGGCCATCACCTGCGGCCTTGACTGCAGGAGGCGCTTGGGAGCGTGGGCACAGGGCATGCGGGCCTGATTAGTGGACACCTGGAGTACAGTGTGGGCGTGCTTGAGTAGGCACAGCTGAGCCTGAGGTTGTAAAGGCAGTGTCACTCACAGACAGAAAATGCGCGTGGCTATGAGAGGAAGAGACCATGAGAGAAAACTAATGAGAGCTCAGAGAGAAAAAGGGAAAATTTGCTGGAGGCTGGGATGCCTCCCTGCCCTGCCAGCCTGGGGGCTTGCCCCACAACAATTGGTGTAGGAAGGGCATTAAAGCCTGAAAGAATGGACAGAGCACCTGCCCCGTGCTTGCCAGCACTGTGCTCTCATCCTCCCCGAGGGGCCTCCTGTACTTAAGGACTGATCAGTAACTGGGTAAAGGCCTGCTCGTGGCCTCAATTCAGGGTGACTGTGAAAGAAAATCCCAGCTCCACAGGGACCACCTGAGGCTGCAACTGCAAGTCGGTCCACTTCTGCCCAGCTCTGTGTCCAGCCCCCTCAGCTGCCCTTCCTAAGGGCGAACCCCAACACTTCTACAGTAACAGCAGGAGTGATCCCTCTGCAGCCTGGGTCCCAGGGGACTCCGTCTAAGACTGCTGGTCTTAAGTGGTCCTACAAATCGGACTCAAGCGGGTTTTGGAGCTGATTGCCCTGCCAGCGGCTGCCAAATGAAAGCCCCATGTGGCGAGCGGGGCATTGACTGCACCTGGCGCGCCGCAGCGACCCGCACTCTAGCGGGAATCCACTTAGGCCGGAGGCTGAGCGGAAGCGGTACCCGTCAAAGGCAAAACAGGGCTTTCTGGCGCCACAGCTTGGGCACGAGTGCCACCCGCTGGCGCGGCCAGGAAGCACGAGGCGCGGGCTCACGTACCCGCTGTCCCCTACCCCCACCGCTGCCCCCAGCAGCACACCTGCGAGCCCAGGTGGCCGCGGCTCGGCGCCCGCCCTGCGGCTCGGAGCGCTGCCAACCGACCCCCAGGCCCCGCCAGCACGGCCCGAGGCCTCAAAACCCTCTGCGTGGCAGTCATTGCACATGGAAACCGGAAGGCACGCTGGCTTTCGCAAGCGCTCCCGAAGTGCTAGGCGCCCGACCCTCCCGCACGGCTGAGAGGCCACAAACACGCGGGCCCAGTGGAGGCGCCGCGGCCCCACCTGAAGCGCCCAGCGGCGGACGGAGGACGCGCCCCGTCACCTAGCAACCCGCCGGCGGGCTTGCGCAGAGAGGCGCCAAGGCCGGTCCCGGCATGCCTTGCGCGCCAAGATGGCGGCGCCCGTGTGGCGGAGTGTCTCTCGGCGACGGTGGTCGACTGCCCTCCGCACCCCGGGGTTCTCGCCGCCTGCGCCGCGTGAGGCCCACTTGGGCGCTCGGGGGGTGCTGGCGGCGCAGAAGGCGCGGGGACTGTTTAAGGACTTCTTCCCCGAGAGGGGCACGAAGGTGGAACTTCCCGAGCTCTTCGACCGCCGCTCGGCGGGCAGCGGCCCCCAGACCGTCTACTGCGGGTTCGACCCCACAGCCGACTCGTTGCACGTGGGGCACCTGCTAGCGCTGCTGGGGCTGTTCCACTTCCAGCGGGCCGGCCACAACGTGATCGCGCTGGTGGGGGGCGCCACGGCGCGCCTGGGGGACCCGAGCGGGCGCACCAAGGAACGCGAGGCGCTGGACGCCGAGCGCGTGGGCAGCAACGCGCGCGGCCTGCGGCGCGGTCTGGAGGCCCTGGCCGCGCACCACCGCCAGCTCTTCGCTGACGGCCGCGCCTGGGGCAGCTTCACGGTGCTGGACAACGCGGACTGGTACCGCGAGCAGCACTTGGTGGACTTCCTGGCGGCGGCGGGCGGCCACTTCCGCATGGGCACGCTGCTCAGCCGGCAGAGCGTGCAGACGCGGCTCCGGAGCCCCGAGGGTATGAGCCTGGCCGAGTTCTTCTACCAGGTGCTCCAGGCGTACGACTTCTACTACCTTTTCCAGCGGTATGGCTGCCGCGTCCAGCTGGGCGGGTCCGATCAGCTGGGTAACATCACCTCCGGATACGAGTTCATCCACAAGTAAGCGCCTTTGGGTTGGCCAGCAATCCTGGAGCGAGCCATGGACACTCAGCCATTGAACTCAGGATCCTGGGGTGACGTCCTTCGTGTGACCCCATGTTGGTGATGTCCCCATCACAGGGCTGCGATGACCTCTTGATGTCACTGGCCAGTAGGAACCAGGGGCTGAATAGATGGTAGTAGGGCGAGAATGCATCCGAGACCCCGTAGGAAAGGGACCTCCACTTGGACTCAAATTTTATCTGTTTTGCTAAGTATTTCTGTGTTTGTGATTGCAGGAACTGTTTTTCTTTGTTTATAGCCGGGTCGTTTGAATAGCCGATGCTTAGCTCTGCACTTTTCGTGGAGTGGTAAAGCCCATTGTTGGCGTCTTGCAAAAAAAGTTTTTAACTCTGAGTATGTGGGAAATAGTGTGGATTTTAATAGCGTTTTCTTGAGGGAAGTGAGTAAATAGACCTAGCCCAGGTGCTACTCATTTTAAAAATCCCTTTAAAGTCCCTTCTTTTAGTGTCTCCACATGACTCCTACTTGGCCTAAATTTCTCTCCTAGGCCTATCTGGCCCTTAAACACCTGCACTCCCTGGTTATGCTTCAGCTCCCTTTGGCTGCTGGGAGTTTTGGCTTCCCTTGCTTTTCAGAATGGCAGATGCCAACAAGGAGTGCAGGGATAGCAGGTCAGGCCAGCATCCGGTTGGGGAGGTCAGGGGAGTCCCCAGGCAGAGGCCAGAGTGCTCTGAAGTGCTCACACCACCTGCTCCCACCATGCTGGGGCCCTAGTGAAGTTCTTCTCTGTACCTAGGTTGACTGGAGAAGACGTTTTCGGAATCACTGTTCCCCTGATTACAAGCACAACTGGAGCAAAGTTGGGGAAGTCGGCTGGCAACGCTGTGTGGCTGAACAGGGAGAAGACGTCACCTTTCGAGTTGTATCAGTTCTTTGTCAGACAGCAAGATGACTCTGTGGAAAGGTGAGTCTTAATAGAGCGCTGAGAAAACTGCACTTTTTTTTTTTCTTCAAAGATTTATTTATTTATACAAGAACTGGGGTATAGTCAGTGGCATGGGAGGGTGAGAGGACCCACCAGAGACAGTGGGGAGCAGAACAGGCAGACAGACCAAAGACACTGCTGAGGGGAGCAGCGGGCAAGACAGGAGAGGTCTGCTGCGCCATGGGGGTTTCTCCCTGGCTGGGAATTGAACTGGCGCTGCAGAGGCTGTGGATAGCTTCCCAGGGCTGTGCTCAACCCACTGTGCCACTGGGGAGGCCCTTAAACTCAAAATTTTTGCCTTCAAATTTGTTTGTTTTACTTAGGACCTATTTAAGGCAGAAACTATTTCTTCACAGGAAATTGGAATGTTAGCTGTTGTAAACATTTTTTGTTGCTTGAAGCAGAAAGCCACTGTGTTTGCTAGAAATTCTTGAGGCAACTTTGTGATCTGCACCTATCAAGCACTTAGAAGGTCATCATTTGAGTTTTCTAGTTTTTCCCTCCTTTTATCTTAATCTTGAATAGCCCTTGTTTTACATTAGCTTCTCTTTTCTCACAGTGTAACATGAAACACCTTTTGGAAATCTTTTTAAAAAATAATTTTACTTTTTATCATACTGTCTTAAACTCTTGGAAGAATATAAATTAGAGTTTGCTAATGCATCTACAGCAAAGAAAAATTCAAAAAAATTGACTATAAATCAAAATAATCTAGGAATAAATAATTTTTAAGGTTTTTTAAATGCTTTCCTGCATAGCATTAATAAACACTGTTGACAAATATCAAGAAACCCTACATAATGGAGTGATCTCATATACATAGTACAGAAATACCTTAGTTCTACTAGATTTAGTTCACAGATGCAGTGCTGTCCCAATCATCTAAAAAGACTTTTTTTGTTAAACTTGACAAACTCATTCCAAAACTAATATTGAAATGAAAAGGGCCAAGGCATTTTTAAAGAACAGAGTGGAAGGTACGCCTTATTGTATAGTAATTATGTGTTTGTTTTTCCTTTAGATTTATGACTGGTGTATTGAAAATCCTGGGCTGATTTGTTTACTTTTCCAATGGATTTATGAGTTAGCTCCAAGTCCTCCTTTCTGCTGTGGGGCTTTTCATGGCTCCACCAGGCTTCTCTTTGATGTCTTCCTGGAGGGGCCGGGGAAGGAGCTGTCTGTGCCTCTGCTCCCCCTACCCCCACCCAGCAGAGCCCCAATTTTTTCTTGAAGCTTATTTCTAATTTCATACCTTTGTGGCCGGAAAGGATGCTAAGTATGAATTAATCTTCTTAAAGTTACTAAGATTTGTGTTTCTACATGTGACCTGGCCTAAGGATGTCCCATGTGCCTTGAGAAGGTTGTGTATTGGGTTGCTGTTGGATAATCCGAATGTTCTGTGTGCATCTGTTATCTCCATCTGGTGAATATGTCAGTTAAGATTGATGTTTCTAGCCTCCCTGTGAAGTTGGTTTTGGAGGTGTTGGATTCGGAGTGCAGGGTCCTTGGGTTCACTCTGGGAAAGGTTTCCCCAGAGCTCCCCTTTCAGCAGCACCGGCGAGTTTCCCAGGTGAGACAGAGACGTTAGTTGTCTCCAAAAGGGCAGGTTTATTATAAGAGGGACAGAAGAATAAAGGACACTTGCGTGGACACCAGCAGGCAGAGAGGGCCGCCCCGAGAGGGACAGGTTTGCTGAGAGAGGCCTGCGTGGTCCCAGGTGGACAGTGTGGGGGGAGCTCAGTGAGGAGAAGTCTTAGCACGGCCACAGGTCAAGGGTGGGCAGGAGGCTGCCACCCTGCATAGGGTGAGGACTGGTGACAAGGAGTCCTGCGTAGGCCCGGACAGGCAGGAGGCTGCTGCCTCTCTCAGAGCAGAGATTGCCCTGATGGAGTCTTCTCTTAGGGGGGCTCACTCCTTCGTGGAGTTGATTTTGGGTAACCATGTACAATGTGAAAGGGACCAGAGACGCTACACTGGCCACATGTCCATATCTTTACCTCAGGTCCACCCTTGACACTAACAGCATGTAACACTGCTTGGGTGTGGGCCCTGCGCCTAGGGACTTTTAGTTCCTAGAGCGGGTTAACAACTGTGCTCATCCCTTCTACCCCCTCCTCCAGCTCCGGCCTTGTATGATCCAGGTTTCTGGCCTCATGGCGCCTCCTTTCCAACTTTTCTACTCTTACCCTCCATCATTACTCCCTAACCATATCCGCGGCCCAAAGTCTTTTGGGGTGTTGAGGGAGGTGATCCATTTTCTGTAGCTGCTTCCTGCTGGAGGAGGATGGAGCGCTGAGGCTGCCTAGGTTATGGTTTCCCTAACACTAGTCCCTCAGTTAACTAATATGGTTGGTTCTGGAAGGAGGCATATACAGAGTCCAAGGGGTTGGGCGTCTGGACAGGCTGTTTCTCTTGAATGGGTCAGCTGTTTTTCTTGGAGGAGTTGTTGAAACAATGAAGGACTCCCCCAGGTTAGAGGAAACAAATTTGACAATAAGATTGTGTATGTGAGGTTTAAAGAAGAGAGTGAGAAATACAGCAGTGGCTAAGGGTCCTCCTTAGTATGTCCTTGGGGCCTGCCATTCTAACAAGATGAGCAGTAAACCAGTTAGAAAGTTTGCTAGGGTTGTGACATGGAAACAAACTTTACCAGGGAAACAACCCATTTCTGGGGTATTGTTGAACTAAAAAAATATGGATGGGATATTTGCTCCCAGCAGAGGAGCTGTTTTAAATCCCACATGTCCCTTGTAAGGGTGACACCCACTAAGGGAGCCCTGAAGTGCTGAGTGAGGCACCCCGCCGCGAACACAGCGGGAGAAGTGCCTTGCGGTGCGTGTATAGGAGTGAGCCCAGTGAAAACAACTAGTTTTCAGCTCTATTAGGGACACAAAGTGTCATGAGCATGATCACTGTGAGGTGATCAGGAAAGCTGGGAGAGCTTTAAAGTTAGGTTAGAATGAGGGACTGCAGTCCACGCTCTTTTTTTTTTTTTTTTTAAAGATTTTTATCTATTTATTCATACAAGAGCTGGGGTACAGGCCAGAGGTGTGGGGAGTGAGAGGATTCACCAGAGACAGAGTGGGAAACAGAACGGGCAGACTGACTGAAATCCACTGCTGAGGGGAGCAGCAGGCAAGCCAGGAGTGGTCTGCTGCGCCGTGTGGGTAGCTCCTTGGCCAGCCGGGAATCGAATTCGCGCTGTAGAGGCTGTGGACAGCTTTATAGGTAGTGTCACAACCCCTTGTGCTACCAGGGAGGCCCTGCAGTTCATACTCTTAAACATTAAGGTTTTACCTGAGAATGATGAATACAGGATTTTGTATCGTCCAATTCTGAGGCAGATCGGGTCTTAGGAAGGACAGTACAAGACCCTTCTTGGTGGCCTCCCTGGTGGCGCAGCAGTTGAGCGCTGGGTGGCCTCTGCAGCACTGGTTTGATCCCCGGCCACCAGGCGAGAGTCCCACATGGCGCACAGACTGCCACGCCCGCTGCTCCCCTCAGCAGTGTATTTCATCACTCTGTTCTACTCTCCGCTCTGGCTCTGGTGAATTCTCTCACCGTCCTGCGCTTCTGACCGTACCCAGTGCTTGTATAAATAAATAATTAAATAATTAATTTTAAAAAATAGACCCTTCTTGGGCTCCAGGATGATGAGGACATTCCAGATTTTCAGAAGCACCAGTTATGTAAAGGGAAGTCGTTGGGAGGCTGTAGTCTGTTAGAAGCAAACTGACATAAAATAGATATAAAAAGTGCTAGTCCTATCTGTAGGTTGAAGAGGACCAGAAATTGTTATTAAGTTGCGAAACATGATTTTTCACCACCCTCAATTCAGTTTTACCAAATGGTTGTGGAAAAAATTCAGTTGACAAGTTCAGTTTAGTTGTAGTAAACACGGTCGATTGTTCTGCATAAGCACAAGAGCAAAATTATGACTGCTTTTAAGATGGGCTTTACTGGAACCTCCATGAGGAGTCTCAGACTAGGGCTTTGAAAAAGAAATTAATGTTGGGCTTTTTACATGAGTATGTAGCAGGATGGTCCCCAGGGAAACGGGGGTTCCAGGTTCCCTGCCCCTCCCAAAGGAGGGTGGATCTGAGCCAGGGGGCAGGAGGTGAAGCTGGAGAGGAGACTGGGGAAGAAAGGAAGCAGGATGGAGAGCCAGAAGGAGACCTGGAGGAGGCACATGGAGCAGAGAGACACGTGAAGAAACTGTACTTGCCTTTTGGTTGTGGACTGGGTGACACAGACGTGGGTGAGAGACCCGTGGGGAGGTCAACAATGGCGCTTTTATTGTGATTTTGCTCTTATCCTCCCACACTTGTCTGTTTCTGACCCTTTTCTATGGTTCCCCGCCAGAAGGTGCTTAGATGTGTGTCAGGCTTTTCGGGCTTTGCTTTGGGCCAACCCTGTTCGGCTGGACATTTACTCACGAGGGGACGGGTAACTTGGGTGCTTGATTTGGAAACCATATTCTTTGTCTTGTCTGTATTGCACACTAATTGTATTAAAGTTCCTTTCCATTAAAGGTCCTTTATGTACTGTCTTGATGTAGTGGATGGCAGAACCTATTTAGAGCAGTTAGGTTCGGGGGTTCTGGGGTATTAGAAAAGAAAGGAGGCCAAGATTATCTGATCGAAGCAGGTTTTATTTGACGAATGCCTGTGAGGGGCGATTCTTGGCTGCAGAGTGAGAATCGCAACTTGAAATTTGGAGAGCGGGTCTTTACAGGGTCAGGCTACTGCTGGAATTTTTTGGTACCTGCGAGCAGTGGGGGTCTCTTCTGTCAGAGGGGGTGTGCTGGGATTACTGGCCAGGGCAGGGGTCTCTCATGCACGAGTGGTCTGCTGGAATTATTTGCTGCTGTCATTTTATTTCTAGTTTAGCTTATTTCTGGTGCCATGGCCCCTGGCTGTGTGGTTTTATGAGGGGCCTATGTGTGCTCTCATCATGGGGTGCCCATCTCCCTGCCCCATAATAAGTACACTACTGATAGTAAACTTGAGTAAAAGTCATTTAAGAAGATGAAATTTCTAATTTTAAGATACCTTTTTCAGACTTTTAACACTTTCTTTTGCCTTCTTGTGTTTTTTTTTTTAATAAGTGGGGTACAGGCCAGAGTTAGGGGGGGCAGGTGAGAAGATTCACCAGAGAGCTGGGAGCAGAACAGGCAGATATCAAAACACACTGCTGAGGGGAGCAGCGGGTGAGACAAAGAGAGGTCTGCCGCACCATGTGGGTTGCTCCCGGCAGGCTGGGGATTGAACTTGTGCTGCAAAGGCCCCGGACAGCCTCACAGCGCTGCGCTCAACCCCCTGCGCCACCAAGGAGGCCCTGCCTTCCTATTCTTATAAAACTTTAGTTTCCTTACAATAAGGAGCCAAGAGTACCTGAAAGAGGTTGAATCTGTCCCTGACAGATTATAATGGGGGCAGCCACAAGCGTACCCCCAGGGAGTGGGGGGCAGCAGCCATGGGCATACTCCCCAGGGGGAGTGATCCTATCTTAGTGGATGTCCCCACTTTCAGGAGGAACTCCCTGGGCCTGGGCCAGGCCTCAACTTACTATCTGCTGCCATTGTCTCTTTTTTTGGGCGGAAAGAAAAGTGGTCTCAAAATCTGGGGTCCTTTGAGTGGCCTGTGGGAAGAGGATTTGAAACTTTAGAGCTTTATCTAGTGTTTTAGCTGCTGAGCTTTGGTTAACCTTCTGGGACCTCCCCCTGAGAATAACTGTAAGGCTGAGGGAGCTCAGAGAGTGAGAGGGAGCAAGAGGGAGCAAAAGAGAGAGAGAAAAGAGAGTGCGCGAGTGAGCACACGGAGAGAGGGAGCAGACAGGCCTTGTCGGAGCTGTAAAAAGTTTAGTTTCCCTGATGAAAGCTACCTTACATTCATCCACATGTGGTGCTCTTAATACCAGTCAGCTTGGAGACCCTGTGGCATTTGAGGAGATGAGTTACAGGGCAGGACCAGAGGCCTAGCTCTGACACTTCAGGATCTAGTCTCTGATGGGTCTTAAAAATGAGAACGTTCAGAGTTGAACCTCGAATTAAAGGCTTGGGCCCACCTGTTAACCAGGGAGAGGAAATCTGGTTCCATAGCGAGGGAAGAACACCATAAAGCACCAGTGATGCAGGAAGGCACTCGAAAGACAGGGATACCTGAGAAGGGGAAGCACTGAGGGGGTGAGGCCTGGGCTGAGAAGAAAAAGGCTGGATGGGTTGCTGGCTACTCTGGAGCCTGGGCTCGCAGTTAATCACGGTGATAAAGGAAACTGAAAGGCTGTAGCTGAGTCGGAACAGCAGGAGAGGGGGCTGTGAAGGAGGGTCCAGGCCTCTGTTATCCCCTCAGAGGCGGAGGGAGAGGGCCGCCGGTGGGACGCGTGGCTGCTGAGCGCGAGCTCCTGCGTGGCTGCACCCTTTGTCTTGCAGGTGGTGGACTGGAGCTAACGCGGGGTACACGCCGACTGTCCTGGCACGGGGGTCTTCCGGGACATAGCCTTCCCCCGACAGCCTCTTACAAGCTGACCCGTGCCCACTATTTTTAGTGGCGAGAACAAGACCTGGCTTGAAAAGGGGCGCCAGCTCTTTCCCCAGGCGGAGCGGGAGTGGCGGCTGGGCTGAGACAGACGAGCGGGGGAGTGAGGCAGAGAGAGGCGTGAGGCGTTCACCTGGTCGGGGTAAGGGTGACTGGAAGGCTGTCCCCCCCCATGCTTTAGGGCCCGCCAGAGAGTAGCCTTGGCCTGAGCCCCCCAATCCATGTAGGACAGCCAAGTGATCCCCAAACACCAACTCCTCAGGCAAAGAGAGCCCACAAAAGAGCAGTAAGAGAAACCTTACCAATGCCTGAAAGCCCCACATCTTAGGGTGCCAGTTGATGTCATTTTTAGAGATGATGGGTTCGGAGAGTGGGGTTGTTGGCTTCACTCTGGAAAAGTTTCCCCAGAGCTCTCCTTTCAGTGGCACCGGTGAGTTTCCCAGGTGAGTTTCTCCAGAAGACAGAGATGTTAGTTGTATCCAAAAGGGCAGGTTTATGTAAGAGGGAGAGGAGAATATAGGACACTGCCTGGACATCAGCGGGCAGAGAGGGCTGCCCCGAGAGGGACAGGTTTGCTGAGAGGTCTGTGTGGTCCCAGGTGGGCATCCTAGGGGAAGCTGCCGCTGCAGAGGGGGGTCAGTGAGAAGCCCCGGCAGGCAGGCAGGAGGCTGCTGCCCTGCGGAGGGAGAGGGTTGGGGGCGAGGAGTCTTGCGTAGGCCCAGGCGGGCAGGTGGCCACTGCCTCTCCCAGGGCGGAGATTGCCCTGATAGTCTTCTCTTTGGGGGGGCTCACTCCTTCGTGGAGCAGCCTGTTTGCTGTTCATTTTGGGTAACCATGTAGAATGTGAAAGAGACCGGAGATTTACACTGGCCTCCGCCTCCACATCCACCTCCCGTCTCTAACCGCATCTGTCACTGCTTGGGTCTGGGCGTTGGCACGTAAGGATTTTTAGTTCCTAGAGCCGGTTTAATGACTATGTTACTCACTTCTACCTCTCTCCTCCAGCTCCAGTCTTGTGGCGCCTCCTTTAGATTTTCTGTCTTCCATCACCTGGTGAACTAGAGGTGGTGGAGTCTCGGCGCTGTCATTGCCATGGCCTGAGTTCAGTCCCCTGCCAGGGAGCTACCCACATGGTGCAGCAGACCTCTCTGGTCTCACCCGCTGCTCCCCTCAGCAGTGTGCTTCGGTCACTCTGCCTGTTCTGCTCCCCACTCTGTCTCTGGGGAGTTCTCTCACACACCACCCATAACTCTGGCCTGCACCCCAGTTCTTCTATGCCACACACACAAAAAAGACTGATGTTTTCCCTCTTGATTGTCTCCCAGAGGAGCCATTAATGCCTGTTGGGGTTAAAGTCCCACTGTAACTGCATCGCTGTCTCTCCCTTGAGAGCTGTTGTTACGATTAGTTGTGTGTATTTCGGTGTCCTGCGTTCAGTGTTTGTAGTGATGATTGTCTGCTTGTCCTGATGAGTCACCCCTTTGTCATTAGGTGAGGTTCAGCTTTGGTTTCATTGCTGTTCTAAGGTCTATTTTGCTTGCTGTGTCGCTGCAATAGATTTCAGCACCATCTGTATGAAACAATGTTTTCTGTCCCTTTCGCTTTATGTGTTTATCCCAGGAGAGAATCTCTTGCAGCAACATAGTTGGGTCTTGCTTTTATTGTTTTTTAAAGATTTATTTCTTTATGCATCCAAAACCTGGGGTGTAGGCCAGGGGTTTGGGGCTAAGAGGATTCCCCCAAGACAAAGTGGGGAGCAGAAAGGCGGATCAACTGAAATCTGCTTAGGGGAGCAGCAGGCAAGACCACAGAGAGGTCTGCTGCGCCATGTGGGTTAGCTTCCTGGCCAGGGATCGAACTCAGGCCCAGCGATGACAGCGCTTAAACTTAACCCCAACCCCTCCCCCCCCCCCCCCCCCCCCCCAGGGAGGCCCAGGTCTTGTTTTCTTTTTTAAATCAATTCTGCCAGCTTTGTCCTGAGTGGAAAGTGAGGGCGCCAGAGACAACAGTTGGGTCTGTATACAGCTCTGATGTGTTTGGTTTGTCCCGAAGGTACCTGAAGCTCCTCACTTTCCTCCCTCTTCCTGAGATTGAGCACCTCATGCAGCTGCACCTCAAGGAGCCGGAGAAGCGAGGGCCACAGAAGCGACTCGCTGCCGAAGTAACCAAGCTCGTGCACGGCCAGGAAGGACTGGACTCCGCAAAAAGGTGCCCTTTGCCATAAGGAGCACCGGCTGGCGTCTTGGTCTGTTCACCTCTCACTGGTCGGTTGCTAGACTCCACGACACGATGCAGGTCGGGGCCCAGCTTCTCCCCATGTGTGGCCCCACCTCTGGTGACCAGTGTAACAGTCATAGAGCCCGAGAGTGACTCATTCTGCATTTTGTTTTGCTGCTTTGTTTACTTGGTCACTTGCATTCTCCAAGTCAGGGGACCCTCTGTATCTTCTCTGACTTTTTTCTTGAAATGGGAGCGCCTTGGACTTTGATCACACTTCCAGAGCCTGCCTTTTTCTTTTTTTGTGTATTACTTTACTTTGCATAGTGTTGTTTCATATTTCAGTCTGGCTCAGCACTTTGTTTTTAAACAGCCACCCCATTTCTGCATGTGTCTAGCCCACTCCTACTTGCTCACTGCTACAGAACTTTCCCGGATGGGTCCTGTTTTTTTTTTACCCTCCACCATTCTCCCTCTCCCCACCACCCCCCACTCCATGCTCACACACACCTGCCCCCCCATGCCCTCTACCCTCCCTGGCGTCATAGCACTGTGCTATGTGAAGATGCTTGAGATAATATCTATTTTTGTAGACTTGTGCTGTGCCCTAGTATATGGTGTGTTGAGATGTTGCGTGTCACGGAGGAGAGCAGATGTGCCCTGCTTTCGGGATAGAAAGCTCTGGAGAGGCCCTGTGAATCCATCTCACCTCACACCTTGTTGACTTTCTGTCTGGACAGTCTCCCTGTGGCCCTGGTGTCTAGACATCTCTGACAGCGTTGTTTTTGTTGCTATGTTGTTTTGTATGCCTGTGTTGGGGCCTGTGGTTTTGTGTGGCTTGTTGATAATGGTGGGTGATGCTGCCGATTTGTCCATTGAGTCAGCCTCGCGCCGTGGTCGCGGTGATCGCCTCCCTGAAGGCACCGGTGGGTTTCATTTGCTGATGTTTTGGTGAGGATTTTTACGCCTGCGCTCGCCAGAGACACCCATCTGTAGCTTAGATCTCTTTCTCTGTGCCATCCTTATTTGGTTTGGGGGTCAAGATCGTGTTGGCCTGGTGAGACATTTCTGGGAGCGTTCCCGTTTGATTTTTCTGAAGTTTAGAAAGGAAAGGTGTGAGAGCTTGAAAGTCTGGGTGGAGTTTACCTGCTTCGGCTTCTGCCTCAGGCTTTTTTCTCAGGGAGTCTTTTGGCTACTTTCAGCTTCCGTGCCGATTCGTCTGCTCAGGGCCCCTGCTTCATCTGGTTGTCATGGGTGTGTGTACGGATCTGCAGATCTGTCCATTTCTCGGGTTGCCCTGTTTGCGTAAAGCTGTTCCTAGAAGTCTCGTGTGACCATGTGTGTTTCTGTAGGACCTGCTGTCATTTGGCCTCTTGCATTTTATTATTCGGATTTTCGTTACTCTTTGTGTAAGGTTTGTCTGTGTCGTTTGACCCGGCTGCAGACTTGAGAAGGCGAGGAGCCCCGCTCTCAGGCTGTCCGGACTTGGCAGCCTGCACTTATTGGTGTGTGTCCTGCACTAAATGCAGCTGCGACACAGACAAGTGCGGTCCCAACACTCTGTCTGGGATGGGTGAGTGGCGCGCCCTGAGGTTTGGGTGCCACGGCGGGCCTGAGTGGGCGCTCATGCTGCTCTCCGTTCCCGCAGGTGCACCCGGGCCCTCTACCACAGCAGCGTGGACGCGCTGGAAGTCATGTCTGATCAGGAGCTGAAAGAGCTGTTCAGAGAAGCCTCCTTTTCGGAACTGGTTCTCGACCCTGGCACGAGCGTCCTCGACACATGCCGCAAAGCCAACGCCATCCCCGACGGTCCCCGAGGGTGAGGCTGCGTGGGGCTCAGCGTCAGACCACAGTACACAGCTGTATTTTGGGGTTTCCTGACCACGCCTGCATAGCCTCTCCCTCCTGGCAGACGCCCGGTAGTCCCCGGATGGTAACACTGAGGTTGTGCTAGAAACTCACTTCATTTCTGGGAGCTCAACCCCTCCCTCCGGCCAGGACTTACACTTAAGGGGCCGCTGGCAGTATAACCTATCTAAAGTATGAGCCGAACTTCTGAAAGCAAGCGTATGTTGTATGGGGAACTTCTTAAGACTATTTTATAAAATGCCATTCCTCTTGAGAACGGCATTTTTTAAACTTAAGAAGTGGCCAGGGTATCTCAGCCAGTTACTCGGCACGGACTTGGCTCTTCCCTTTGTAAACGGGACGGCGCGGGGAAAAGTGCAGGTGCCCGGGGGGCCGCTGCCACCGCGGGGACCCAGGCACTGACCTCATCGGCTACCCAGCTTCATGGTTCCCAACATGCATATTTATTTCACACATGCTGAGGGGGTACCTCATATCTGCTCCCCTAGAACATTATAAAGGGGGGGCTGGTGCTGTTAGAGCGAACACCAAGCTGAGGCTTCAGTCTAGATGTTTCCAGTTAGAGAATGGACTGGAACAGATGGTGCATCTGTGATTCTGAGGGGCCACAGGGCTTGAGTTTGTCTAACTACTGGACATTTCCATTTTCAGGTATCGGATGATAGCAGAAGGCGGAGTCAGTATAAATCATAGACAAGTAACAAATCCGGACAGCGTTTTAGTTGTTGGACAGCATATTCTTAAGAATGGACTTTCATTACTTAAAATAGGAAAAAGGAATTTCTACATTATAAAATGGCTTCAGCTCTGATGCAGAAGTCCTTCTGAGTGTCCATCATTCATCCTGGAAGGTTGGCTCTAGAATTTATACCTTCACGCACATCCGTCTGCAGAAATGGAATGTACTCTAGCCCCCCAGTGTGAGTACCTTCCCAACTTCCACAGGTCGGTTAATAAATAAGGTGTTTGTGTATGACGGGGCAGTTCCTGACATGCAAATGTTACTGCCAAGGTTAATCGCTGTTTACACTTTCACATTTCACAAAAAACCTCTTTCCCCTCCAACCCTTCCGGCATGTCCTTTTCAGAGATGAGGAAGAGTGAGAAAGAGATAGTGGGAGTAACTGGGGTGGGGGCTGGGGGGTCTCCCACTGGGATCTCTGGCTCCCTAATTGTGCTGGTGTTAGCTTGCTCTGATGCCCATATGAGAAATGTGAAATCTAGTTGCAGAGACTTGTAAATCTTCGATTCTGTTGTCTAGAAAGTAAATAGTTTTTAAAAAGGAGGAAAGTTTCACAAAGGCACAGTTGGCAGCACAAATTACAGAATAGTTCATTTTTAAAGAAAAAAATCAGTTCTGTTTAGAAAGTGCCTCAGTTTTTCCTTGCCTGTGTTTCCTTATAATTAAATTTACATTCAGCCTTGCCCCGTCAGGAGTTATTCAAGTGGCAATGTGTTATAAATTTGTGAACTCTCAAATTAGATATTAAGTTTCAATTTTTGTCTCCAAGATTTCAGATTGTCTAGTTATTAAAAACGGAGCTGTACCAACACCTCAGGGCCTTGAGTCTGTCAGCAAAGTCCCAAAACGCCCTACAGTACAAGCTGTGTTTGTTTGAAGCAGATTTAGATTTCAAAACACTGGCAAAAGCCTTTCTCTGGGACTAACGCTAGGAGAATGAACTTACTGACACCTTGACATCGTTTCGTATCAGTTTTATTTACACAGCAAGCACACACAGGCCCCTTACAATGCCAGTGGCCGTCTCTACATCCCAGAGCATCTCTCAGCTTGGGGGCCCCTGGGAGGCTCTCTCGCCCATGTTCCTCGCCTGCTTTTCTTTGTACAAGTGTGTAGCGCTAGCAGGTGCATCACCCCTAGTGGTAGGTCTTTAAAGCCAATATTTTTAATCTGAAATCTATGATATGTTCGGGGAAGTGCACTGGAAGTTTGTTGCCTTAACTAATTCAAAAAGTCGATCTATCAAGAGAGAGTAGCTGGGACCGAGGCTGGGATCAGGTGAGGCTACCTGGCGGCAGTGATCTTTGTTTCCTAACCTCCATGCATCACGCGTTCTAGTGGGACTGTGTAAACAGACCAGACGGTGTTGTGTCCACCAACATGGACCTGGTTTTTGCACTCGGGGTCAGCCTCGGGTGTTGTGGCACCATCAGCTAGCAGATGTGTGACATGTTCACCAGCCCTCGTCTGTCATAACTGAAAAATGTATGTTTGTGCCATTTCCTTGACATGCTCTATTAGAGATGGAGCTGGATGCCTTAGGGAATTCAACCCTTATCTTGAGATTTATAATTTACATAGAGACTCATCTGGGGAATTTTAACAAAACATGTAAGTATGTACTCTAAATGCCACCCCCTAAATGCAGGTGAGTCTGAGCCACGAGGAGTGTCTAGTCAGGTGTTCTGTAGAGAACAAGGCCCACCAGTGGGCGTGCAGCAAGAGTGACTGTCACCAACTAGGAAGGTGTCAGGTGAGCCACACTTCATGATGGGCAAGGTATTTGGTTTTAAGTCCCACTTTGGTGGAACAGGAAGTCAGCGTCCCAATTTAAAAATGTACCTGAATTCCATTATTTGGAAACCAAAAGGATTTTACCCAGTAGAACCTTTAAAATCTAAAAGGAACTGGTCTTTAAGTCTTACTAGAAAATCAAGTCTAGATGGTTGTTCTAAACACAGGAAAATATAAACCGTGCTTCCAGGTTTATGTAAGAATGAAAGATGTTCTCACTTTTAGTGCCCCAGGGAAGGTGACCCTGGGCGTGGAAGGGCTGTGTAGCTGCACATCCCACACCTCGCACCACTGCCAAGGTTACAGCTCCTGGGCGGTCATCTTGTTTACCAGCACATCAGAGGGCGCGGAGATGCTCAATGGACGGAGCTGAAGGACAGGTGCGACAGGGCGACTAAGGCGAGGCCGCAGCCAGAGCAGGGGCGCATGCACTATAGCCGCAGGCGTGGCCTTCCAGAAGTACCTGGCAGTGGCTTTCACACTACTACAGGTCATACGGGCATCTACCCACAGGCAAACTGCTTGTACACAAGAACAGTAACAGCTGTTTTTCAGTTCAAACGAAACTGTCACAAGACAGATTTGATATGTCTTATATATACCGGGAAAAGTTAGAAACAGCCATTTATTATTTGGATTAAATTTGTGATTGGTTCTGCAGGAGTAAAATTTTCAGTTTATGGCCAGTCTTTACATGAGCAGATACCATTGCAATACACAGGAGTTCATAAATAAAATTCTACTCAAGTAGGAGTAACTAGCAAGTTCTGAGTCACAAAGCTCAGTATCACATACATAGTTCTCTTCACCAAAGGTGAGTCTCTCGAATCTCAGCAATAATTTGACTGGCTCCTTGTAATGCCTGCATTGGAAAAGAGAAAAATCATAGAAGCCCATGAAGTTAGGATGTCAAAGGATCTGAGTTATGTGGGGGTAAATGTCTCCATCTGCACTTTTATTCCGCCACACCTTCCAAGCACCGCTTGTGCCATGTCGGGCAGGGCCAGGGCCCCATGGATGCTGAGTGCTTGTAGAGAGCCCTGGTCAGAAACACTCCCTGTCTAGGGTGGGGGTTTGCATCTATGACCCAGGCATGAACAAAACCCCAACTCCGTGGATACCTTTAGCATGTCAGCGGCTTCTTTCCTGCGCTGGGCCATGTCCTCAGACTCGGTCAAGAGGTCGTCCAACAGGGACGACTTGTACAGCTGTCCTACCAGCTCACTCTGCAGCGTGTCTTTCACATGATTAACCAGAAAGTGCATCACTGCCTTTGGCACACTGCAAAACAAACCACAGGATAACCGAGTTTTACAAATACACGTATGCCCAGAGGGGGAACCGGCCAGCAGATGTCCAGTCTGCTCTCATGTGCAGCACTGACCTGTCTTGAATGTTCTTTCTGACGATAAGGAAATAGGATTTGATGAGTCGTTCAATGACCTCGCAGTCTCGCTGTTCACGGGCAGAGAGTTTACGTGCAACAGGAACCGGCTGAACAGGAGGAGTATATTTGTTAAATGTGGCCACAGAAACAACATCCAGAAGTTACACTTTAAGTTCCTCATTAGTCTCTGCCTCACCACATCCAGCAGATTCACGGCGTGACCTTTTTGTGGACTGGCTGGCATGATTGGAATTGGCTTTGATTTTTCTTCGGCTAACAACTCTTCAGCTTTTGAAGTTTTCAGCATCCCTCTCCAGTTTCCTGTCGTTGGTTCTTGAACAGCATCTCCAACCCCACCACCTCCAGATGCAACCTGAAGGAAAAAACAAAAACAAAAACAAAACAAAACAGGTGTTCCAAAACCTATACAGGCCATAGAAGATTTGACATCAGCCACACAAAGACCATGTTCGTGGATAGCGACCAAACAGCCAGTCCCCATCCAGAGTGTCATCTACTCAGACAGGGACTGGGTCAGATGTGGTGGGTGGCAGTGCAGCCTCTGAAGAGGTTTGGATATAATGTAGCAAGGCACTCCTTTCTCTGTCCTCAACCTTTCTCTTCCACTTCTCTAACTAGATTGTGAAAAAGCGTAAGCTGCTCAATTAAAGAAACCACAGCTAACATTCAGATAATTTCTTTCAAGAGCCCTTAAATGCAGATGAGCCGGGATCTCAGAGTTCTATGGATTCGTGCCTGCACAGTTTACTTTAATAGTCGACAAAACTGTGCGGGTGAAGGGAGAAGTGCAATCCTCGCGATGGAGCGTGAGCTGCCTGTGCTGTGGCACGGGACCTAAACACAAGTGCTCTATGAGATTTACTAGTCTTCTGTCTAAAGGAGAATGTTTAAGTAAAGAACAGTAGTAATTCTTCACCATTTAGGAGACATTTAAAATGTTCTGAGAACTTACAATCTGAAATGGAGATGACACCCAAAATTTGTAGAAACAAAATGGTTTATGTTAATATAACATGAGACAATCATTCTGAGTCAAAACACTGGTGAGAATTAATCTAACATGTGAAGGTGAGATGTATCTAATACAGGCAGCCACCTACACACTGAGTATACGGAGCCCATTAAGAACAACATCAAACGAAACCTAGGGTGCAGATGTGGTGTGATGAGTGAAACAAACACTTAAGCAATGATTTGGTTGTTTCGCTTAAAATCTGGGCCCAACATGCTATGAACAGACACTTCTAGACCTGGAGTTTTGGAACCTTTCTAGAAAAGGAGTTTGAGTGATTCTTACTGAGAGCTGACAAAGAACTGACTTTCCCAGTTCCCGTTTGCTTCCCACACCCAAGGTGTTGAGGCACCTGAGGCTACGTATTAGGGGGCTTGTGCAGACTGGACAGAAGCCTGAGGAAGCTACGGGAGCACAATGTCCGTCCCTGCGGGGCAGAATGCAGCGTAGTGAAGAGACACACTCAAGAGTTCCCTTCCCACTGCTGGTGTTTTAGTAGGAAGGAAAATACCAAATTCAAAACTGTCCTTCCAGGTAGTGGACCAGTGGGAAAAGCTGTTATTTGAAAGTCAGTGCAGAGTCACTGCCGTCTCAGGAGGGGCAGTTAGGCAAGAGGAACATTAAAACGACACAGACAACAGGTTAGAAGTCACTGTACAGACTTTGTGAGAACCAGAGGTACCAGCATTTCCATTCTGAAATAAGACACTCACATTTTTAGTTTCTCTTCTGCTGTCCTGAATTAACTGTTAAAAGATATGTTAAAACATGCAGTTTAACAAGCAAAATTTAAATATCAATGGTTTGAAATTCAAAAAGCGCAGGATATTTCCTCTTTAAGTTACTTTTTTGTGTCTCTTCTAGGTTGCAAGCAAAAGCATGTCAATAACTTAGGAAGTACAGTGTAAGAGAATTTAAATTTCTATTAGATTAAAATATATGACCTTAGGACATTATCCCATATTAATATTCTGCTATTCAGTGTATTGTTTCCAGATGATTCTATTGCACCAAACAACTAGGCATGCAGGCTTAGATGAAGAATCACAACAGACCTTGCCATCAGCCTCAGCAGAAGCAGCAGGGGAGGGCTCCTGGGAGGCAGGTGCCAAAGCACTTGGAACTTTAGAGGACTAAAGGCAAAAATGCAGGGGGAAAAAAAAAAAATCAAGGATGCCAAAAACGCACTCAGAAACATTCTCTAAATCTGAATTTTTGCTCTCTCTCAGAACATAACATGAGAAACAAAAGTGATCACAGGATAGAAAGTTTGTCCTTGTACTGCTGTACATGTACTCAGAGGAACACCTGAGAAAAATCCAAATGCAAAAACTTGATCATTTGGAACTTACTAAGATATCTCTAATCCAGATCTAAAGGCACAGATTTTACATACTGAAAAATTTTAATATATTCAGCTAGCACAGGTGGCTGAGTTGTTACGTGCATATTGCGTCTTCTCTCTCCACAAAGTCTTACTATCAAGTTATTAGTCCTTTCAGCTCATTCTGCAAAGTTGAAATGTCAGTGTCAATTTGCCATCTGTGTACTTCTTCCAGTATTCAAAATACAATTACTCCAAGCCTATTTTCTATTCAAACAGTGAAACAGTTACAATGGAGTATTAAAAGATACTTCTAGAACTGAGTAAGTACTCTGAGGCTTACCCATCCATCTTTGTGCTCTGTGAATATGCTTTAAAAACGTTGTTTTTTTTACCTTGTCTCGTGATACAGAAGAAGGTAATTCTCTTGCTAGTCTGTTTCTTCTTTGTTCCTGTAAAACCAACAAGGAAAATAAGTAAGGAATCACTGATTTACATGGTCCCTATATACACCCCTTCAGCACATCATGCAGAAGGCAGAGCACACACATCACAGGAAACTGAAACAAAACCTTTGAAAGTCTCTGATTTGTACACGCTTGTATGGGATCCACACAAAATAATAAAACATCTGGACATGTAATTCTGGAGGGCCAGAATTAGGGCCACAAGCAGCAGACAGTGGGGTCTAGTCCTCACCCTAGTCTCCTGCCAGCAGTGGGGACCAGGTGGCCCCAGGTGCCCAGCAGACTGGCCTGCCTGCTTCCTGGGCAGGTACCACCTCCACTAAAGCCCCAGTTCCTGCCTCTGTTGACAGAGTCCCCTTCACAGGGACGGGTGAGAAGAGCCACCTGAAGTTCTCTGGCATAGTCGTTAAAACCAAAGACATACTGATGAAGACACAGGACTTCAAATCACTGCCCACATTTGATTTCCATTGTTGTTCACTGAAAGTTAATAGCTTTATTGACACATGATCTCACATATACCTCCCTGAAAAGTAGCTTAAAGATTCTTTTCCATCATCCAGGAATTCAGTCACTACTAAGTCAATCTTTATTTCTAAAGACAAATCCTTAATTTAAGTGGCCTCTTGTTGATTTTCTTAAAAAAAAAAAAAAAAGATTTATTCATACATACAAGAACCAGGTTCAGGCCAGATGTGCAGGAGGGTGAGAGGATTCACCAGAGACAGGCAGCAAACAGAACAGGCAGACTAGCTGAAATACACTGCTAAGGGGAGCAGCAGGCGAGACAGGAGAGGTCTGCCACACCATGTGGGTATCTTGCTGGCTGGCCAGGACTGAACCCACACTGCAGAGGCTGCAGACAGCTTCACAGCTCTGCACTCAACTACGTACACCACCAGGGCAGGCCCTCTTGTTGCTTTTCAAAGAACTGGTACAATTGCCTGGCCCCCTGGCTGTGTTCAAAGAGATGTGGTTTGTGTTCAGAGAGACCGATTAGCAAGATACCGGCAAAGCAGAGAAGGAGCAGCTTATGGGACCCGACCCACATGCTGTCCATGAAAGAGGCTGGCTCAGGTTCATGAACACACTCATACTCGCATTCCAAAGACCACCTCCACTGTGAGGTGCTGAGGAGACAGCACCTTCCCCACTCAGCTCTTTCTAACTGTCCTTGATCCTGATTTCCTTCTTAGTCACTTCTTGTAATGTAAACATATATAAGACAAGTAACAAAGAAACCAAAATATATAAGAACAACAAAAATCAGAGACATTCATTTACAGAAAAGTATTAACCCCGAGAGTCTGAGCTGCACTTACCTCTATGTTATTGTTCATGAGCCCACAAGCATCTGCAAAGTCTGGATGTTTTGTGTTGATATAAGCCAACTCAATTGCCACTAAGTTATGGACCTAGAAAAAAATAGAATTAGACTGTGCAAAAATGTCAACCTAATTTTACTTTCACAAAAGTTTATTAAACTCTGAAAAAGAACAGGCTATTTTATTAATGCCAAAGTTAGACTCCAGTTGACATCCAACCCCAAGCATGTGCTTCTTGAGTTACTTCCACTTCAGCATTTAAGGTGACATTTGTACTGGGGGACGTGACATGAAGTTATTGGAAGTATTTAGTTACAGTTTAGTTCAATTTCAACAGTAAGGAAACATCTCATAATCACAGGTAAGTTAAAGATACTAATACTGGGGAGTAAAGCACACATTTAAAGGACAGGTAATGACCTTAATGACACACTGCCTAGTTTAATGTTGTGTGTGGGTCAAGATCCTGAGACACTGGCCAGCAAGGGATGCTCAAACTGACTTCCCCATGTTTAAGTAAACCAACTCCTTCATTTGCACCATCAACAAACCTTAGATGTCAGAAGAGCACTAACAGGTGAAAAGCCAGGTACACAGGGCCTGCTCAGCAACATTGCAAGGGTCCTGCCGTCCAGGCTGCCCCTTGTCTCAGTCTGGAGGTTTTGCTTCCAGGGAACCAGGGGCAGCCCTACACCCTACCCTGCAGGGTCACTCTGTGCTCTGGGCAAAGGTCCGGGGACCACCATCGGGGCCAAGGGCCAAGTGCACTTTTAGTGACCAGAAAGAAAAAAGGAACACACACCCAGCAGTTAGAGGCACAAGGACAATGTGAAATTTTCACCACATATTTCTGCCAGTTCCAGCACTTTACATTCTTAAAGACAGCAACCCAAAAAAAGCGGCCGACAACAGCAGGGCATAAACGAGCCAACTGAGGGAGTGGTTGGGTCACTCAGGGCAAGTCAGGGGGCAAGGTAAACACTACCTGCAGACAGCGCTAATCGCCCCGGGACAGCCGAGCCCGGGGCACAGGCCAGCGATAGCCACATATGGAGAAAGCTGTGTTTCATGCCAGTCACTGAAGTTGCCTTTGAAGCAGGACTCAAACTCACTCCTCCCCACCCGGGGGCACAGCACCTAAGCGCTAAACAGCATAGTGGTGTGAGAAGCATGTTCACCAGCAGGGACTACATGGTGGTTTGCAAGGAGCTCACCATTTCATTTGTAACAGGCAACCGCTTCCTCAGGAGACAAGTCACTACTTCGACAATGGCGTCGTGAAGCTTAGGGAACCGCAGTAACTCCTGCATGGCAGAGGAAAGAGCCAACAGCATTTTGTTTAAAGGGAAGTGAAGTCATTGCTGTGATCCTGAATTTGACTTGGAAGCTCCATTCAAATGCGTGGTTTCAAATCACCTCAGTCAGGGACTTTGGTGGTGACTCAGCCCGTCTACCTGCCTGCTCCCCTCCGCAGTCCGCCCGCCCGCCCCGCCGGCACCTGCGTGCTGTAGTTGCTGCAGTGCTGGATGATCCGTTGCATCTCCTCGTGGACCAGCTCCACGCAGCGAAGGCTGGGCTCCTCCAGGCGCTTGATCTGCCGCTTGACCAGCAGCTCAAAGGAAACCTCAGGCACAAACAAAGCAGGACGAGGGCCCTGCAAAGATTAAATGTGGGGCTATATTATAGTTACGTGTCGTTTCGGCTATTCCCAAAGGTTGAAATAATCCCATCTTTGCCATTTTTCATGAAAAGCACTTATTTCAAGTAGGAAAGCAAAATAACAAACAGTACGGTTTATTTTAAAGAGATACGGGGAGGAAAAGAGCAAGCCTTCAATCTGACTTCCGGACACCCGGGCGCGAGCATACTCACGGTAGCGTTCCTGATGGCAGTCAGGATGTCGATAGTGTTAAGGCCACCTAGTGGGTCGACAGATTCTAAGGTTCGCCCAAAAGTCTCATGGAAAATGTAACATATTCTAGCACCACCACATCTGGAAGGCAACAAAATACAGTGTCTGCAGTTACTACAGGGTGAGAGGTGGGGAATCCATCCTTCCACTAGTCTCACTTCCCGACAAAAGCCCAGGTAAACAATCCCATGTAGACAATTCTATTTCCATGTGTGCTGAACTCAACCATGGACCAGTCTTTTTGTTTTGTTTTGTTTTTTAATGGGGTAAGTAATCATAATGAAAGGCACATGGTTCTTTCAGAGAATATCAGGGAACCAACAGTTCCCAATCTCCAAGGACACTGCAAGAGCTTCAAATACATGTTGTTTGTTTCTGTGGAATCACAGTCTGGGGAGAGGTGGGCCAAGGCTGCCTGTCAGGGGTTAGGCGGGAGTGCCTCAGATTTTGCAGGCAGTCACCAGAAGCTCTACTCCACCCCAGCCCCAAAACCACGCAGTACACAGACACAGCCACAGCTGCGTCCCAAACGCAACACACCAAAAATTGCACTTCATATAATTTTCTCAGATCACAAATACTCTGAGATTCCCCTCTACCGTAAGTCAACAACAGCAAAGGCATTCTTAGCTATCATTTGGCTCTCTTCAGACAAATCTCTGGACAAAATGACAGCACTGGGTTTCCTACCTTAATGACCAGTAGCCCTAGTATCAGCTTTGGATGTTTGAGTTAAGCCAGTTGATCTCCACAAATACCTCTGTCTTCCAAGATCATCACTCTCTCGCTATTTTCACCATGATATTCAGTACTTCATTAGTCTAGGCAGATGGTCTAGAGCCTGATAACACTATGCTAAGTGTGGCCAGCCAGACACCAAGGGACAGATATTCTACAAATCCCCTTACATGAAAACTCTAGAACAGGCAAATTCATAGAGTAAATGATGAGTTTCAGGGACTGGAAAAGAACAAATGGTGACTTGGACACTGGAGATCTAGGAGGGTGAAGAAAAATCTTGGGAAACAAAGTATGATGGTTGTACAAAATTGTGACTATAGTACCACTGACTTGTACACTCACTGATGATTAGAATGACCAGTAATCAATCTCTCCCTACATCCTTTTCCTTCTCTGAGTAATTTCCACAATGACCAGAATTATCTTTCTAAAATAGGTTACTCATTTGACCAAAAGTTTTATTTTCTATATATAGTAGGAAGGCCTCCAAATTCTGACATCTGACTGTCCAGTTTGGTGCTGATACTTTCCCTGCCTTTCCTCCTGCCATGTCCCGTCCTGGCACCTGCCACTCTCCCAACACAGCCTGGGATGCTCTCCAGGCTTACACTCACTCCCCGATGCCTTCCCAAATTCTATTCAGAGCCCAACTCAGCCCATGATAACTGTGGACTTTCCTAATTCCTGAACAAAATGTGTTCCTCTCCTCAGTGTTCCAAAGGCTGTTTTTACTTTAACTACTTGTAAGCCCGCCTATCCATGTTATCTACACTTTTCTGGATATGTATAATATTTATAAGCATTTAAATATGAATACATGATATACTCTTTTAAATAAAAGTCTTTGATTATTCTATCCCTTTTGTCACGTTACTCAAACATCTTTTTTTTTAAAAGCTTTTTTTTTTAAAGATTTAATTTTCTTATTTTATTTATACAAGAAGCGGGGTACAAGCCAGATGTGCGGGACGGTGAGAGGATTCACCAGAGACAGAGCAGGGAACAGAACAGGCAGACTGACTGAAATCCACTGCTGAGGGGAGCAGTGGGCGAGACAGGAGAGGTCTGCTGCACCATGTGGGTATCTCCCTGGCCAGTGGGGAACGAAATGGCACTGCAGAGGCTGCGGACAGCTTCACAGCACTGGGCTCAACCTCCTGCACCACCAAGGAGGCCCTACTCAGATTTATCTTACCCTCTGCAGAGCTTCATCTTAGTAGTGATCTTCATGGCCCTCCCCATGCCATCTTATAGCCATTCAATATAGAGTCCGTTCAGTTACTCTCTCTTTACTGGCTAACACATAAAAAACACCTAGACACAAAAAGGTACATAGAAACACAGGTACACACGCACGCATGCACTCACACTGTTGGTCCACTCTGGTTGTATTACTGTACTACATATTGACACAGGGGAGGTGGGAGTGAAAGCAGATCAGGACATCCCTACACATTTATTTGCAATTTTCTGGCAGCTCATAATAATTTCAAAATTAAAAATGTTTTGGGTATAGGGCCTCCCCTGGTGGCAAGGGTCCCATAAAAAAAAAAAAATGTTTTGGGTATAGCAAAATGCATATTCATGTGTATTGTTAACAGTAAATAATATAATCTACTGATCACGTGGTGGTTGTAACAGACTTGACCTGGCATCCAACTGCTAGGAGTCTATCCTCAGGGGCTGCATGAACCCGTGCCCCAGGGCAGTCCATCTCAGCATTCTCCTATATTTGTGTTTACCTGAAACCAAAATATCAATAGTGGGGGACTGGCCCAGCAAGTTAGAATCTACCTGAAAGTTAAATATTATGTAAATCTGGAGGGCAATATGAATGTGTAATTATTAGCTATTTCTGAAGTGTTGATTTAGAAAAATTATTTCAAAACAGTATGTACTGCATCTGATGTTCAGATGTGTAATACAGGTGTTTATTTCATAGATGTTTAGGAAGTGTCTAGGTAAATACCAAAAGCAAGCAGAGGTTATCAAGATGTGGGATTAAGAGTAATTTTGTTCGTATTTTATTCTCTGCATTTTTCCCCCCACAAATAATTATACCGTATATAATACTGTAAACATTTTAAGTTAAAATTATAAAACATTTTAAATATTTATCAATTAGTCTTACTATAAAAAAATGAAATGTTTACTTTTTAGTTTATAAAACACGTTTACACACATATCAGACATCAGCCTCTCATTTCTACAAAATGATATTACTGTTCTGATAAATCACAAGTAGATAATCTGATTTAAAAGTCACCATAACTGGGCCTCCCTGGTGGCCTAGGGGTTGAGTCTCAGCACTGTCACCATTGCGACCCAAGTTCGATCCCCAGCAAGGGAGCTAACCCACATGGCGCAGAAGACCTCTCCTGTCTCACCCATTGCTCCCCTCTGCAGTGTATTTCGGTAAATCTGCCTGTTCTGCTCCCCACTCTGTCTCTGGGGAATCCTCACACCCCCCCCCCCCCACACACACACACACACCAATACCTCTGGCCTATAACCAGCAGTTCTTTTACGCAAAAATTAGTAAAATCTTTTAAAAAAATAGTAAAAGTCACCATAACAAAGGACAAAGTAACCTAGCAATCCAGGTGACCAGACCCACAAAGCTAATACTTTCTTACAGCTCTGAAGTCTCGATGTACTTTGCAGTCCCCTCGATCGTGTTACAGTACTCTGTGGCGAACTTGGTGATGAGCTGGAGTAAGGTAGCACTTTTGTCATCCACGGGCTCGCCATAGCTGTTGAGGAGAGACTGGTACTGGGCAGCCAGTACATTGATTCTCGTCTTGAGCTCTGGTAAACAATCTCTGATGTGATGCATCAGTAACCTAACAAGGTTAGAAAATAAGGGTTGTAAAGTGAAATTGGCTGTCTCGAAGACCCCAAAGGGTCAAAATTTGAAAATGTAAATTAATGGGGAAACCTGTAAAACTGTCTTGGAAGGAATTAACATGGTCTGAGACTAGAAGTAAATACTTAGTCCGAATAAAATGACACAAAGGAAGTCATCTTGGCCAATCCTGTGTAAATACACCTTTACCCCAACTGTAGCAGACAACAGAGAACCAAATCTAACTGGAAAAAACATGCTTATATGTACGGCGAGAGCAAGCAACTCAATCTAGTTCTATCTGCATAACCAGTTTTTGATTGATCCTTTACAACAGGTACTCAGCATAGCGAAAATCAATCTCAGATTCGGGTGCTTAAGTCTTTAGTTTGTTTAGGAAATAAGACAAAAGCAAGAGAAAATAGTTTTCACACTTCAGTCATTGCTGCCCAGAGGGATGCAGCTTCCACCTGGCTATAAGAAGGAACGAAGATACCCCAAATGCAGACCAGATTATGTGAAAATTACACATTTAAATTCAGTTCCTGAAGTCCAAAGTGGAATGAAGTCTCGTGCTATCTAGTTCTATTCTCAAAGTAAATTGACCACCAAGGATCTCATAATTAAAACTTTTTTTTTCCCCAGACTGAAGCAGGATTTATTTAATGAATGCCTGTGAATCAAAAACATATTAATATCCAATGGAGCATTCCTCAACTGCATGAGGATTTAACACCAACTGCCCTAGCCCAGAGCCATGTGCAGGAGTTGCTGTTACACAACAAAAAGTGAAAGTATACACCTAAGAGCACTAGGAAACCACAAGGGACTGAGGAATGAAAGGTCTTGACACCTACCAGTGAGTGCAAAATATCTCATCTTTCATAGGTAAGAAAATGTTACCTGTTCAGGGTCCTAGCAAGGTACTTTGTTCCGTTTCTGTTGGCCAGAGATGGGTATTTCTTTTGAAGGAAAGCATATTCATCACGGATTGAATCAGTGACACTCTTCTTATTGTTAATGTCTAGTTGGCTCCTAAGGGTGGAAATAACAAACTGTTCAGCTCAAGTCCACTGTGGTCCCCACACTTGACATTCACATCTCTTTACGTGATAGGTACTATCCCAGTTTGCTGTAAAGAAACTGAGCTCACATATTAAGTGCCTCCATCACAAATCACATAACTTTTAAGCTTAGGACTCGTTATTACCATTAACTATGGTCAAAGCTGTGCTCTTAGGTAGCAGGGGTAGACAGTGAAAACCTGTGTGGCTCATTCAAGTGTTTATTTTCTCCACAGACAGGCAACTCATTTCTACCCAAAGTAACCATGTTTACTTGTAGAGCTACCACCTATAGATACAACAAAGTGTCTTCTACCAGCTGCTTATCTGAGAACAAATAGTGGGACTCAGTTTCTTTAATATGGGAGTCAGGGTGAGGTGGGAGGATATGCAGGGAAGCAGACAGCTGTGACAGCCATGCTGTCATTTAGTAAAGATACTTCCATTTTGTAAGACCGAAGACTCAAAAGAGTTTGGACATGATTTACACACACATTTGATTCTGGAAGACAAAGCAGCCGCAGCCAGGGCTCACAGTAATTTCAGCGCTCCCTCCTACAGAAAGGTCCCACGCCAGGGCGGGTCTCCACCTGAACCCAGCCCTTCACGCACCAGCCTGTGACTCTAGGAAAATTTCAATTCCCTGATTAGGAGGCTGACATTAATGCCTGCCTCACAGGACTGCTGTAAGGATTCAAAGACAGGCCATCTGTGTGTTGCACACAGCAGACTGTCCATAGTTCAAATAGACACTCAGTCATAGCTTCCTTCCCCTGATGTTTAATACCAGCTATTTATAATTAGGACCCTTTTATAAAATTTCTCTAAATTACATCCTGACCATTACAAAGAAATGCTAAAGCACTCTAGCAAAACCAAGCTAACAAAATCCTATTCCCTTAAGTTCTGTCTTGATTGAGTGCAAGTAACATCATACTTTCTCTATTGAGGGCACTCCATATCAATACCTAACAGGCAAGAGCGTTCAAACCTAAGAAATGAACTTTCACCTTGTGTCACTGCTTACTCCACAGGAGGCTTTAGTGAGTCTGTTCCCTTAAGAGCAACCCCTTTGCTAGCAATTACAGGAAAAGATTATAGGAAAAGGAGAAAATCAGATACCATTACAGTCCAGACTTATTTGAAATTTTCAGGTTTGCTTTGGAACAAGAATGCTCACGTATCCCATTCTTGATTGCTAACCTGTTAACTACTCCAATTATTCCAAGCTTCACTGGAATAACCCTGCCCATCAGCACATCCATGGCATCAGTGCCTGCATCCATGAGGTCAAGCTTAGTGATGACAGCCAGAGTCCTGCGACCTGGGAAAAGCAAAGAGAAAAGAAAGTGACCCATTAGGTAATAAACTCATTAAGCGTTAATAAGGGAAAATGCTATCTATAGTCATCTACTATTACAACTATCATCAACTTGCAAATGCTTTTTAAAAACTAATTTTTTTAAAAAAAGATTTATTTATTTATACAAGCACTGGGTACAGTCAGAAGCGCGGGAGGGTGAGAGAATTCACCAGAGCCAGAGCGGGGAGCAGAGCAGGCAGACTGACGAAATACACTGCTGAGGGGAGCAGAAGGTGCGACAGGAGAGGTATGTCGCGCCATGTGGGACCCTCACCAGCGGCTGGGGATCGAACTGGCGCTGCAGAGGCTGCAGGCAGCTTTGCAGCCCAGTGCTCAACCACTGCGCCACCAGGGAAGGCCCTAAAAACTAATTTCAGTAACTGTGTACAACTTTTTAAATTTTTCACAATTTAAACTCTTACGATTATTTTCTAAATATATGTTTAAAATTTACTTTTTATTGTTCAGGTCTGTGAGTTTTAATAGATGTGAATAGCTATATCATCACCACTTGTTGATAAGTGAATCAAGATCCATTCCCATTTTTCTTATGCCACCCCACAAAGCCATTTCCCATGACTAGCTTAGTATTTTCTGGAATTTGGTGTGAATGGAATGGCAGGCCCAGCCTCTGGGTCTGGCTTTTCACCTAGTGTTCATCTGCGAGCCCTCCCTAGTGCTGCATTCATCACTTTCTTCTTCTCTGTGCGGCTAAGCAGACTGTCTACAGCTCAAATAGACAGAGTCGTAGCTTCCTTCCCCTGATGTTTAATACCAGCTATTTATAATTAGTTCCAGCATACTGATGCTCCAGCATACAGATGTTCCATGGCTTGGTTATTCATTTCCCAATTTGAGAAAATTAAGTTGTTCCCAGTTTTATAAGAATACAAATAAAGCTAATACAGACAATACACACAGACTTTTACATGAATATAGGATTTTATTTAAGACAAATGCCTAGAAATGGGACCGTTGATCTAACTATTTAAGAAGCTGACAAACCATTTCCAACGTTTCGACAGCAAGCAAGTTCCACACACACATTGCAGTGTCCAATTTTATGGGTCACTTCTTAATTATAAGTATTTTTTATCTTACTCCAAATTTACAAAGTCATTCTTTTGAATGACCTCATATTGTTACTGTCTTAATTTAGTTAACCATTCTTACTGTGAGCCATACTAAGTCGATTCTAATTCTTTGATGCTATAAATAATACTGGAATGGTTTGTTTCCTTACAATGTATTACTAAATTGAGATTACTAGATCAAAGGTTCGCTCAAGGATCACTTTAAGAGAGAATGTAAATGAAATAGTTAACAGTTTAAACAATAAAAATGAAATTTCAATAAACCCTTTACCAAAGTTACATCTTTTATTTTGCTTGTTAATTACTCATGCAGCAAGTTTCTTAAAAACCTGAAAGGGGCCTCCCTGGTGGCACAAGGAATTAAGACGCAACCTATGAAGCTATTCGCACCCACTGCAGCACGAGTTCGATCCCCAGCCGGTCAGGGAGCTACCCACATGGTGCAGCAGACCTCTCCTGACTCACCTGCTGCTCCCCTCAGCAGTGGATTTCAGTCAATCTGCCTGTTCTGTTCCCCACTATGCCTCTGGTGAATCCTCTCACCCCCCACACCTCTGACCTGTACCCCAGCTCTTGTATGCATAAATAAATTCTTTAAAAAAAATAAAAAACCTGAAATAACAAAAAAATTACTTTGGCAACTGTTTATGGGAATTTTCATTAGCAGCCTTAGCACTTACATTTCCTACCAAAATTTATTAAATTCGTTCTCAAAGTAGAAAAAGAGAGACATTACAGAGCCAGCACACCCTCCAAATATGCAGGTGAGTCATCAGCCCATGTATGGAACATAGTCCTACTAGCCGGCCTTCCACACTGCCAGGCATTACACACAGACCCCATCTGACTAACCCTGGGGTGATAACTGCTTCACAAATGGACCTGACCTTTATTTCTAAGAATCCTCTCTGCCTTGAGCATATCTCAAGTATATCTCATTACAGGAGACAGCTCGTTGTGAATGATGGAATCTGCACGCTTACAGGAAGCTTCATTTACGTGGGGATACGATTGACTTTTACCTAGTGGGTTTCAAACCCCTTAGCCCCGAATCTATGACAATCTTTCTTTCCTGAAGCATGTTGGTAATGAAGGAAATGATATTTTGATCTTATATAAGTAATTTTATGTGTCTCAATATCTAAGTAATTTCATATGCAACCAGAAATCCCCAAAGGATATAAAAAATGAGGTTACCTACTCTACCTTAACAATCTACAACGATTATCTGCTATGAGAGTTATTCTTAGAAGTTAAGCCATTCAGGGGCCTCCCCAGTGGCGCAGCGGTTGAGTGCTAGGCTGCGAAGCTGCCCAAAGCCTCTGCAGCACCGGTTCAATCCCCGGCCACCGGGTGAAGGTCCCACATGGCGCACAGACCTCTCCTGCCGCCAGCTGCTCCCCTCAGCAGCGTACTTCATCAATCTGCCTACTCTGCTCTCCTCTCTGACTCTAGTGAATTCTCTCGCCCTCCCGCACTTCTGACTGTACCCAGTGCTTGTATAAATAAATAATCTTTAAAAAACAACAAAAAAAAGAAGTTAGCCGTTCAAACACCTAAATCATTTCAAGTATGTAATACAAGAAACTCTTTTTGCAAAGTCATTTTAAGATTACTAGGTAACCATTATAAATGTGGACACACATGACAGCAACTTACCCATCACAGAACTTTACTTTCCATTAGAATTTCTATTTGAAGTTATAAGCAAAAGAGAAAGCATGATTTTTTTATATCTGTATTAACAACTACCAACATCCTTTCTAAAAAAGCAAAGTTTCCTATTTTGCCATTTGTGACAAGGATTATGCTAAATTAAATCAGAAGGAGAGAGACAAATACTGAATGATTTTACTAAAATGTGGAATACATAGAAACAAAGCAAAAGAATAGACAAAACCAAACCAACCCTTGAATTCTGACAGTAGAACTGATGCTGTGGGCAGTGGGGAGGTCGGCCGCACAGGGTAGAGGGGCCCAGTGGACTGTGGTGGAGGACTATGGTGCTCTGGTAGTGGTGACCTAAATCTGAAGAGGTATGGCCCTGTACTCCTAAAAGATACACAGTGTTGTGACCAGCGTTTCCTCGGTAAGTACAATTTCCTTTCTTCAGGGTGGGATGCCACTGTTAACCAAGTCACACACACTACTATCAATCAGTCCTTACCATCTGGATCTACCTCTCTTGATATTTTGAGAGCTTCTGAGGTCGCCATGTCTGTATTGGCAGCAGTGACAGCAAGGATGATGGAGTTGGGATTACTGATGAACCGCAGAATGAGCTCTCTGATCTGAAGCTCAATGTCCTTAGGCTGATCACCCACAGGCACCTAAACCAAACAGAAACATGACAGGCACTAGCAGTAAAAATCAACTCAGCTTCCCAGCCTCCCCCCTTGAATTCATAAAATATACACTTAAATCCATTTACAGAAAGTTAAAATGAAATTATATACAACAGTGGTATGCATGAATTCAATACATGTGAAAGTTTGAAGATGTAATTTTCTTGAGTATCAAAAATTGACCTTGTTAAGTACTGGTCAACATTAAATACCTAGGAGAAATTCATTCATTCATCCTTTCAATTAGCAGTATTTACTGGCAGAAAACTATGCTTTAGGACTTGTTCCATTTGCTAGAGTATGTCACAGTCATGAATAAAAACAATCAAAATTCCCCTCTATAGAGCTTGTACTTCAGTGATAAGACAATAAACAAACACATATGCTATATATGGATTCTGAGGGTGGCAGGACACTGGAAAAAATAAAAGCAGCATTACAGGTAGCTAGGAATGTCATGGTTATGTTTTTAAATTATTACTTTGAGCAAGATTATGTACGTACAGAGTAGTCAAGGAAGACCGCACTCATAGTGGGTCACAAGATTCTTTACCTTGGTCATTCCTGGCAAATCCACGAGTGTCAGATTGACAACATTGGGTGAAAAAATCTTAAGATGAATAGGTTCAGGGCTGACTCCCTAAAAATAAGGTTTGAAATATCATTATTAAAACCACATTAAAATGGTAATGAAAAATAAAATGTGAATGTAACCCACAAATAGACACTAGATACTATTAAATATAAATAACAGGTTATAATCCTACCCAACCCCATCTTATTAACATACAAATTTACTTCCTCTGTATTATTTCACATTCTTGTCTCTTGATTCGAAGCAGATACCACACCTCAAGTGTATTTCACAGGCTTAATTAATGCTGAAGGAAAGAAAGATGCATTCCTAATTGACAGTTTCTTGAGTTGAGGGAGTGAGGTAGAGGCAACAAGATACCCAGGCTGGCGTGGCTCCTAACTCCGAATACAGTGTACATTAAGAGATGCCTCAGAAGACATACCTGAATCTTTAGATGTAAAAAATTAGACGGTGATACCTGCCTTTCCTCTCCCTTACCCCGGAGCGACTACACTCCTGATCTTCACCAAGGGTCCCTCACGCGTTTCGGGGCTGACTAAACTCCAGCAGACACACCAACATGATGTGTTCCCTTTACTGCCCTGGCTCACTCTGAACTGCTCATCTATTTCTAATGTGCCAGAGTCCTAAATAGTCTAGGCTGGTATCTGGCACACCTTCCTAACTACATATACTCAGGCACCCCTCACCATGTAGACACAAGCTGTATTTAAAAGTCTTTACAGAGACAACCTCATTTTTTATATCTTTTGGGGATTTCTGGTTGCATATGAAATTACTTAGATATTGAGACACATAAAATTACTTATATAAGATCAAAATATCATTTCCTTCATTACCAACATGCTTCAGGAAAGAAAAAGATTGTCATAGATTCGGGGCTAAGGGGCTTGAAACCCACTAGGTAAAAGTCAATCGTATCCCCACGTAAATGAAGCTTCCTGTAAGTGTGCAGATTCCATCATTCACAACGAGCTGTCTCCTGTAATGAGAGACTTTCCCTCTGACTCCCCAGTCACAACCACTCTACATTCCAGTCCTGTGCAAAATTACCCTTAACTCCTGAGCTCAGTAAATCCATAGGAGTCACAAACAAGTTCAGACTGCTGTTAGGACTTGCCTCAGTCAAATTTAACCCAGATGTCCTCACAGGGTTCAGGATGACTCCCCTAGGTTACTGCCACTTTGCTGTCCCTTCCATACAATAGCCCTGGAATGCAGGGCGGCAGGACCGGCAACTCAGGGTGACCAGCCCAGGGAGCAGCAATGACAAGGAGCAGCCCCTCACCAAGAAAGACACCCTAGATAACACAAAAAAATTAACAGGGCTCCCAACTGCCTTCCTGTCAGGAAATGCTCTCTTCAGCACTATCTGGCAGATAGACAAGTACAATAAATTTTTGTAAGTATTAGTACTAGGCTTATTTGTAGGGTTAAATGTGCCTCTGGACACTATAAGAATGGAGGTAAGAACAAAAAGGAAAGGAACAGAGAGAAAGAAAATAGGAATAAAGGAGAGAAAACAGAAGTTCTTAGGGTAGGGAGTGACAGTGTCTGATGGCAAGGTTAAGAGTACTGAGACACCTAATTTCATAAGCTAAGAAAATTTTTTTAAAAAATTAACATTTTTCATTTTCACTAAAAAATGGGGAAAAAAACTAATTTCCTCCTCTTTGCTTTCATAAGTAAATCTAGTCTTATTAGGTTAAGAAAAAGAACTTTTCAAAATACGTATATGGAATAATTTACATAATGCTTCTTGGCTTAGAATACAATGAATCCATCAGAAAAAGACAAGTTATTGTAGCAATATAAATAAAATTATAATAAAGTGGTATGTATATCACAAGATCAAATATCTAATATGTGGTAATATAAAAAGCTCTAAGAAATAACATGGATTTTAATTTTTCATATATTTGTGAAAATCCTCCCACTAGTACAACAGGACTATGAATTTATAACACCCACCTCACATGATATAAAGAATACTCTAGGAAACATTCTTACTGATGTTTATGTTTACAGCTCTAAAATTATGCCTACCTTATTATTTCCTGAAATCCTTTCTGTTTCATTTTCAATTTCTTGTCGAATTTCATCGAAATCTGTATAAAGCTAAAAATTATGGAAACAAAAAGCATGACAATCAAAATAAAATCAAAGATCTTAAGTGGGGGTGACCATAAATGTTAAGAATATCTAAGAAACTTCTTCAGAGAATAAACAAGATCAAATACATACATGTATTTTCCTGAGCCATGAGTTTATGTGATTCCTTCAAAGCTGTCTAATTCCACAAGAGTTAAAAATCTCCAAATTAGAGAGAACTGGGCTCAATCCAAAATTTTCTCCAAATAAATGACGGTGGATAGAACATATATTTTACAAGGAATAATGGCACTGAAATAACAGGCTCCACTGCCTATAAGAAAACTAAACTGGGCTTCCCTGGTGGCCTACAGGTTAAGTCTCAGCACTACCACTGCTATGGCCTGAGTTCAATCCCTGGCCAAGGAGCCGACCAACATACAGCATAGCAGACCTCTGTCTTGCCTGCTGCTCCCCTTAGCAGCGGATTTCAGTCCATTCACCTGTTCTGCTCCCTACTGTGTCTCTGCACCAATCCTTTCATCCCCCTGCACCTCTGGCCTAACACCACAGTTCTTCTATTCAAAAAGTAAATCAATCTTTAAAGAAAAAAGAAAACTAAATTATCAGCTACTTATATAAAGAAATGTTTCACCTGGTATTTGTTCACGATATTCTATATGATTACCTTATTCTTGGTGTGGAGAAATTTACCCCATTCTTCTGCTTCAACTCCTGAGAAAAGGAAAGCTCATTTAATGGAAACTATGGAAATCACATTTATCTTTAGTTAGGAATTTAAAAAGGCAACATAATAAATGGTTTGTTTGTTCCTATTTTTCAATGCTACAAGTTATTAAGTGTCTTAAGATCTGCAAAATTATACTTTCACATTTAAAAAACAGTATCTTGTATTTGAAAAGCATGACTAACTTCAGAGTGGCTCACAGATCTTCCTCCCATTTGAAATTTAGTTTTTATTAATAAAAATGTTCTCTTCATACTTTCTATGTAAATATATTAAAAAGAATAGTCTTTATTTTAAAATATTTATGCTTAAAAGCAGTTCAACTGGTGGATCACTCAAATCAATAGCTAAAGAGGAAAAATTAAGAATCCTACTAAGAAATGTAACCAAAAGCATGAATAATAGATTTACACATCTAATCCCAGATAGAAATTTGCAGTATGTCAATGAAATTTGCAATGATGAATGAGCTAACTTTCCCATCGGTTCTGTTCTTCACCAAAATGGTTTCCACATCTCACAATCTGTCGCTCCTCTAGAGTTCTCTGTATGTGGAGCTGCTCTGTACTTTACTTGCACTTTTTCAAAGTAATCCACACCCCCCATACCCTCCCTGATAAAAAACAATTTCTTCTTTAGAATTGGAGGTCGGAAAGAAATGAAATGAAGGGGAGAAAAGACCCTGCCTATGCACTGAGGGAATCCTAGTCTCCACCAGTCCCAACAGCCACTATGTCCCTCCACCATGATGAAAAGGGAGTCTTCATCACTGTGTGCGCTGTTTCCAGTGGTTTGAAACTTGGAGAGCAAGTTTTGATCTTTTTTCAGACAAGGTAGAAATGTTTAATCACAGAAAGGTAATCTGGCTTTGCTTCCCCCAACCATGGCTACTCTGTGCCAAATTCAAAAAAATTATAAATGTGTTAATATGTTTATGAATAATGCATACCAACCACCTAAAAGCAAAATAACAATGACCGTAAGATATTTAACAAATGTTAATGTGGGAAAGGTGGATCAGCACTTCAGGAGAGAAAAGGTAAATAAAACTGGATCCCTTTTGCAAGTAAAAAGCTCACCTACTTGAAACATAGTACCTTTTTCAAGAAGTCTCATTGGAGGCCTGGAGTAATCTAGGTGAACAGAACTCACAGAGGCAGGCACCCATATCAAAGGGGAGGTTTTTATTTACCTTCTCATATAAAAGACGCCTGGCTTCACAAACACATTTTAAAATAAAAATAACATAAATTACATTCACCACCAAAAAAAGCCTGCATTCTGATGCAATGCCAAGAAGGGAGCAAGAACCACTAACACCTGCACTCAATGTGAATAGGCAAATAAAAATGGAAGGGGATGCACACAGCCCATGAGAGCACAGCAGCAACATGCAGCGGAGTAGGGCAGGGCTGAGAACAAAGAAAGGAGACCTTTAGAAAGGTGTCTTGAGTTTTTCCATGTAGCAGAGTCTGTAGTTAAAGAGAAACAGCACAGAATGTTAAGTGCTTATCCCTAAAAGTTAAACCTTTTCAAAAAATCAAATGTGCAGAAACCTGAACACATTTCAAATGCATATGGGTCCAGTTATCCCAAGTTTACAACTAATTTCTGCTGTAATTAATTATAAATAAAGGGATGTAATCATTTTTCAAGTGTTATAAGCAAAGCATATTGTATGTCATAATTTATTTTTGTTTTCTGCTATAATAAATTATATCACTCTGGTTTCTTATCTAACACAAATGGACTGTAAATCACTTCAAAAATTTGCCTTTGATATCGGTAACAGACTATAGAAAAAGAAAGTGCCTGGCAAAAAAGAATCTACAAAACATACCACATACATGTTTCAAAACCTTAGAGTTAGTTAAATATAGACAAGACTACAAATAACATATGGCTGAAAGCTAAGACTGATTTTCTAAGGGATTATTTTCTTTCAACTACATAGAATTTAACACCATAGAAACAATTTTGGTTAATCAGTTTGCTACTTTTGGATTTTGTCTAAAAGAAAATGTGAAGAAAGCTTGACTTATTTCATAAAAATACATGAAAGATAATTGTGAAGGTTTAAGTTCAAACTAACCTAGTAACCTAGTCTAAGACAGTGTGATTTCATCTAAGATTTTATCAGTTATCTTAACAATATGAAATATGCACTTTTGTGTGTTCAAGAAAATGTAGTATAAATAAATTTGATTAATAAAATTAAAGTTACAATAAAATACTTTTAAATATATAGAGCACTGCAAAATAGCTGATGTTTTTCCAATTGATATCAGATATATTTGCTGATGAGATAAAACAAAGATGTTTAATGACTTTTGTTCTGTTTTAAAGTTAACTTATTCACTGATAACCATTAAATTGACAGCTGTACACCTCTAGCAAATCACCAGTAGTGACCCCTCCCATTGGTGTGTGCTGTTTTAATCTGCCTCCTGGGTGCCTCCTCCATCCTGGTGATCAGCTGAACAGCAGTATGCATGGTGAGTGTGCCAGTCAAAAGTCCAGTTGTTTGGTTCTACCAATTCCGGCTGCTGAATTTCTTGAAGGTTGCAAACAGTACTTCCTACCCTGAGATCCTGCTTGGAGCACAGCTTTATCAAATTTGAGGTCTGCATAAATGCACAATGTCTTAAGACGCTGTTGTTTCTCTTCTGACTTGGCTAGTCCCTGAACGAGGCTGGAAGCCGTCTGATTATCAGTGAGATTCTAAACTGTCATCTTGTAATGGATCCACTCCAAATCCTGGTTTGCAAGATGAGAGCAACCAAAGAGCTCATGACCCACTTTCCAATACTGTTCCAGTCCTTTCCAGCAGCTGAGGGTCAGCACCAGGAGACGCCCCACTTGGTGTGGTCACTTTTAAGTATTAGCTTGCCAGCTGGGCCACTTGTCTTTTGGGATTTCCACAGACGAGAGGTCTGAGCCCCAGCAGTTCAGCACGGCCAGGCTTCCTATAAGGTGGGATCTCAAAAGTTCTTTTATAATGGCAAAAATGGGGACAGGCTGAGAAATACTATAAATTTACAGTAATTGACTCCAATTATCTATGTCGTTACAAAATGAAGGAACTCAGCTGAGTAAATTTTCCTATTAAATTATACATATTAGACCCCAAAATATTTTATTTCAGCCATTTTTGATGGGCCTATATAAAAATGGATCACACTTCTCCATGTCCTCTTAGAAAACATGGCTCTTTATTTAACCTATTATTGGTAATTCAGGCCTTCTGGTGACAAATAAACCCTGTGAGGTTATAAAGCCCTGTACCGAATGGTAAGAGGCTAACTTTGACTTTTTCATTTGAAGCTACTGCATGGTCGTTTTCCCCACTTTCTCTTCCCTGTCAGACTGTGAGGCAGCTCAGTCCTCTGGTTCACTGTATGTTCAACCTGCTTCATCATTTCTAATTTACTCTGGGCTACAATGACTCACAACAAGGTAGAATTATTTATCCTGAGGAAAAAGAGCCTCTGATGAAAAACTAAGGAACAATCCCAGCTACGAATGAGACAGGAGACCTAGGACTCAAAATACACAAAATCTAATTTGTATTCTGGGTAGCTGAGTTGTCATGTGAAGTATGGGGGTGGGGGATTACAAATGAAAAAGAGGCACTAAGCTTGGAGGGGGGGGGAATATATATATATATATATATATATATATATATATATATATATATATATATATATAAAGATTGCAGATTTACTGACCACCACCAAGAATAGACACCCAAAAAGCACAGTGGACACACAAGCAGAGGCACTGAGGACCTGACTCTTCCATCCTGAAATCCACACCCTTTTCTAGAGCGCTGCCCACACTACAGTTTCTGAGACAGGGTATCATCTGCCTTTCTCAAGGTGACATCTGCCTTTCTCAAGGTGACTGGAGAAAGTGAAAGTTCAAAGAAAGACCTAATGCCATATAGCTTCCTCAAGTCTTAGTTAAGGTATTTGGTAACTTTGAAGAAATGAATTAGTGGGGATGAAAACTTGAAAGTGTTATTGTATAAGAAGCTGAATCACACGTTAGGCCTAAATGAATAAATTTAAGGGGGATTCATTAGTAGAGAAATATTCCAGAAAAAAACAAAGGGACAGAGAATACAACAAGAAGCTACCTCTTAATAATTACCTACTATAACTAAAAGCCTCCCACATATCCTCTGGCTGCCTATCCAGAAATATTACTTGTTAACACCTACAGCTTCATTCAGTGATTAACTTTCTATCATCACAGATGTTCACAACATATTTTTCTCCTTAAAAAACGAAATCAAGTCTTCACCACTAATGTTCCTATAACAAGCAAATCAGTTCTAGAAGTTAAAGTAACTTCAATTTATCACAGTCTCATCCCATCAAAGACCAGAATGTAAGTTGAATGAAATGAAACAGAACCAAATATAGTACTCTGCTATAATTTAATAATTAGGGCAATCAAAGAATTTTATAAATTAGAAAGTGTGTGCCAAATACAGAACCAAAAGGAAGATTAAATATATTACCCTCATTGGAACATTTCAGCCTCACTATAGAGGCATGACTGACACAGGTCACATATTTTACAAGCAATTTAAAACCTGCTGATAGACATATTCCAGTCACTAAGGAGAGTGCTTACTTTCTAATCTCGATACCCCACACATTCACCACTCACACTCAGTAAAGAAACAGCCTGAGTTTGGCTGGAGACTAAGTCTGAAATATCGGAGGGGGAGGATGAAATAGTATTTTGAAGTGAGAATAATATATTACACTATTGTTTGAAAAGGACAGTTAAACAAAAAATAAAATCAGGGCCTCCCTGGGTAAACACCGCACTATGAAGCAATCCGCTGCCTCATCAGCACGAGTTCGATCCCCAGCCGGCCAAGGAGAAACCCACACGGGAGGCAGACTTCTCCTGTCTTGCCCGCTGCTCCCTCAGCAGTGCATTTCAGCCAGTCTGCCTGTTCTGTTCCCCACTCTGTCTCTGGTGAATCCTCTCACCCCCACATCTCTGGCCTGTACCCTAGTTCTTGTACATATAAATAAATAAATCTTTAAAAAAAAATCAAAACTTTCTAAAAATAACGTTCATCTGAGATTGAAGAGTACAGAATCAAAACTAGCAGGCATACAGTAAGATGGGAAAAGGGAAGATGAGGTAACATGACTGCTGAAAAACAAAGCTATTTTAATTTCATTTAAAAGCTAGAATTTAAGTTGAATTCTAAATCAAAGTGAAAGTTTTAAACACTATGGAAAAATGTTTACAATACTACAAGACTCAAACATTTTCCCTTTAAAATAACCAGTTCCTGTTCTCCTGAGTAGCGCCTTGAATCCTGCATTATACAACAGTAACAAGTTCAACATGCTGGTTACCAAAGAGGTGCAACTTCAAACACATGTATTCATGGGCCTCAGGACCACAGGAATCACTCTTTCACATGAAAAAAGAATCCACCACTTCTCTTCACAGGACCTGATTTGCCCACAGCTAAATCTTTCTAAGAACTGACCCAAAATGAAGTTTTAAGATATTTTTATACCAATCCTAAAAATTACCATTTTCTTCTCCTGTTGTTTTCCGTTTATCTTCAGGTGAAACATGGACAAGCTGCAGGATGAGGGGTCTCCGGGTAACAATGCCAGTGCCTCTGGGGAGCAGGTCCCTTCCTACTAAGCTTTCCAGCACCGAGCTCTTCCCACTGCTCTGAAAGCACAAAGGACAAGAATACAGTGAGCATCTGAACAGTTTTTGTGACTAGGTGAAAGTAGACTAACAGCAGGTAAGGAAATCATTTTCCAGAAAAAATTACTTAAGACACTTCTTGAGAGTTTAGTTATATTTTCTATTATATGATATTTGTACCTTTAAAGCAGTTCAGAAACAGGGCCTCCCTGGTGGCACAAGGGTTAAGTCTTAGTGGGCCTGAATTCGATCCCCAGCCAGGGAGCTACTCACATGGCACAGCAGACCTCTCCTGTCTCTCCCACTATTCCCCTCAGCAGTGGATTTCAGTTGATATGCCAGTACTGCTCCCCAATCTGTCTCTGGTGAGTCCTCTCACCCTCTATACCTCTGGCCTACACCCCAGTTCTTGCCTTCATAAATAAATATATCTTAAAAAAAAAGTTCAGAAACAGAAGATAAAAGCCCCACTGTTCGATAATTCTACCTTTATCAATACTCTCCCCACCAGTCTTTTACAATAAATACGTAGTACTTCTTTTTATGGTTTAGTTCTAGTTTGATGCCTTCATGGTCAGAAAAGATGGTTGGTATGATTTCAATCTTGGTGTATCTGTTGATGTTTGTCTTGTGCCCCAGTATGTGATCGATCCTGGAGAATGATCCGTGTGCGCTTGAGAAAAATGTGTACTCCGTTTTTTTGGGGTTTAGTGTTCTATAGATGTCTGTTAAGCCCAATTGCTCTAGGTCCTTATTTAGAGCTTTGGTTTCTTTACTTATTTTTTGTCTTGTTGATCTATCCATTGTTGATAGTGGTGTGTTGAAGTCTCCCACTACAATATAATACTGGAAGTCCTAGCCAGGGCAATAAGACAAGAGAAAGACATCCAAGGAATCCAAATAGGAAAAGAAGAAGTCAAACTATCACTATTTGCAGACGATATGATATTATACATAGAGAACCCCAAAAACTCCACAGAAAAGCTAATTCAACTCATCAATCAGTTCAGTAAAGTGGCAGGATACAAAATCAACATGCAAAAGTCAGTAGCCTTCCTATACACAAACAATAAATCTGAAGAAGAAGAAATAAAAAAACCCATCCCTTTTGTTATTGAAACAAAAAAATCAAATATTTGGGAATAAATCTAACAAAAGAGATAAAGGACCTATACAAAGAAAACTATAAAACACTGTTAAAAGAAATAGAAGAAGACACAAAGAAATGGAGAGACATCCCCTGCTCGTGGATTGGAAGAATAAACATTATTAAAATGGCCATCCTTCCAAAAGCAATATACAGATTCAATGCTATTCCAATCAAAATTTCAATGTCATTCTTCAAAGAAATAGAACAATTATTGATGAAATTCATATGGAATCACAAAAAACCCGAATAGCCAAAGCTCTCCTGAAAAAAAAAGAAGGGAATGGAGGCATTACACTCCCAGACTTCAAACTATACTACAAAGCCATAATCATCAAAACTGCATGGTATTGGAACAAGAACAGACATACAGACCAATGGAATCGAATAGAAAATCCAGAAATAAATCCACAGATTTATGGTCAACTAATCTTTGACAAAGGAGCAAAGACTATGCATTGGAGCAAAGAAAGTTTGTTCAATAAATGGTGCTGGGAAAACTGGGTCGCTACATGCAAAAGAATGAAGCTTGACCACTACCTCACACCATACACAAAAATCAACTCAAAATGGATTAAAGAACTAGACATAAGACCTGAAACCATAAAATATATAGAAGGAAATATAGGCGAAACACTACGTGATCTGCACATCAAAGACATCTTTACAGACACATCACCCAAAGCAGTGATAGTGAAGGCAAAGATAAACAGCTGGGACTACATCAAATTAAAGAGCTTCTGCACAGCAAAAGAGACAATAACAAAAACAAAGAGAAACCCCACCAACTGGGAGAACATTTTTGCACCCAACACTAATGATAAAGGACTGATCACAAAAATCTGCAAAGAGCTGATGAGACTCAGCAACAACAAAGAAAATAATCCAGTCAAAAAATGGGCAGAAGAGCTAAAAAGAAACTTCTCTGAAGAGGAAATGCAAATGGCCAACAGGCATATGAAAAAATGTTCAACATCACTTGCCATCAGGGAAATGCAAATCAAAACTACCATGAGATACCATCTTACACCAGTGAGAATGGCACATATTAAAAAAACTAGCAACAACAAATGCTGGCGAGGGTGTGGAGAAAAAGGAACTCTTCTGCACTGTTGGTGGGAGTGCAAACTGGTCCAACCACTGTGGAGAGCTGTGTGGAGATTTCTGGACCTACTAAACATAGAGCTTCCATATGATCCAGCAATTCCACTCCTAGGTATTTACCCAAAGGACACAGAAACATCAATTCCAAAGAACACCTGCACCCCTATGTTTATAGCAGCACTGTTTACAATAGCTAAGCTTTGGAAACAACCCAAATGCCCAAAATAGATGACTGGATCAAGAAGATGTGGTACATATATACCATGGAATATTACTCAGCATTCAAAAAAGATAAACACATGCAATTTGCAGCAACATGGATGGCGCTGGAAGGGATCATGCTCAGCGAAATAAGCCAAAAAGAAAAAGAAAAATACCGGATGGTCTCACTCATAGCAGGAATCTAGAAAACTTAAATAAGGGACCAGGAAAATGAATAACTATAAGAAAGTGAAAATCAAAATCAACAAAAAACTATGAACCAGAGACACTTTTAGGGGGGCGGGGGCGGGAGGGGAGGGATTGGGGTCAGAATGGGGGGGCTGCAATTGTATGGGGAATATAACAATAAAATTTATAAAAAAAAAAAAAATAAAGCAATCTGGATTATAAAAAAAAAACAAAAAAAAAAAACAAAATACCAATAATAATGTAAGCCAGTGTTACCTCAATTTAAAAAATAAAAATACTTTCATATCAGTGGAAAAAAAAAAAAAACAATAAATACGTAGTACTGTATGTTTCTGCAAACTACTTTTATTCTGAATGTAAAAGAGGTATCATTTCACATCATTAACTGCCTCTGTGACAATTACAGTTTGGTGTAAAAACCAAACTCCAACTGACACTTTAAATGATCTTTGCTATTGTTAACAATGCTATGAATATGTTTTGCACATTTTTAAATTTTTTTTAAGATTTATTTATTTATGCATACAAGAACTGGGGTACAGGTCAGAGGTGCAGGGGATAAGAGGATTTATCAGAGACAGAGTGGGGAACAGAACAGGCAGACTGACTGAAATACACCGCTGAGGGGAACAGCAGGCGAGACAGGAGAGGTCTGCTATGCCATGTGGGTAGCTCCCTGAAGTGGGTGGAACTATTGCCGCAGTTAGCTGCAGATAGCTTCATAGGTTGCATCTTAACTTACCCTTGTGCCACCAGGGAGGTCCTTTTTTTTCAATTTTTAAAAGATTTTATTTTTGCATAGAACATTATTAAGTATTAACATTCTGTTAGATTTGCTTTATGTATGTCATTACACACACACACAAACGCGTGCACGCTCGCTCTCTCTCTCTCTACTGCTGAGCCAGAGATATCATGGTGTTCACCTGAAATACAGTAGCCTTTTTCTGAGAAAAGGCCATCTTTTATATAACCTAGATACTGTGACCAGACTCTACTTAACAGACACAGATTGCCTAATAATATAAACCCTAATCTCCATTATACATTTTAAAGGTTTGCTGTTTTGCTTAACATAGTATTTTTTCTGTACTGTATTTTTTAGTGGTCAAAACTAGTATGTCTTTTAATTTCATATTTTCTGTTCTTTTCTTTAAATTTATTTATGCCTACAAGAACAGGGGTCTAGGCCAGAGGTGGGGTGGTGGGTGGGTGGGGGTGGTGTGTGTGTGGGGGGGGGTGTGTGTGTGAAAGAGAGAGAGAGAGAGAGAGAATTCCCCAGAGACAGGGGGGGGGGAGAGGGAGAGGGGGAGAGGGACATAGAGAGAGAGAAATTTCCCAGAGTGAGGAGCAGAACAGTCAGATCTACTGAAATACACTGCCGAGAGTAACAATGGGGAGACAGGAGAGGTCTGCTGCTCCATGCAGGTCAGCTCCCTGGCCAAGGTTCAAACTCAGGCCACAGTGGCTGGCGACAGCTTGATAATGGTGAGACTTTAACCCCCGTGCCACTAGGGAGGCCCCATAATTTCATATTTTCTACAATGGCATAACTCCTGAATTCACATATTTTATCAGAAAGAGCTGCAGGAAGCAGACAATGCATCAAGTTAGGTCAACTTAAGGAGGATTTACTGTCAGTACAATACCTACAGAGCTGCATGGGGAATCGAGACTGAGTGTACCAAGGTCTGGGGAGACTCAACAGATGCTGCTTTCCCCAAGGCCCTGAGGGAAGAACAGTGTGCCAGGGATAAGAACTGAACTTTAGCCTCCTCTCCTCAATTCCTGCCAGGGCACCCCATATCCAAATCCAGAAGCCAGTGGACACAGGGGCCACTCATGTTGTCCTGAAAGGTCCCCTGTGACAGAGAACAGAGAAGCTGGCTGGAAACAGAGGATCAAAGTGAATATTTAGGCACATATGGTGTTGCAACATTTGGTATGCAGGTTTATCCATCCAGTTAAGTAAAATAGGGTGCTTCCTGTCACCTTCTGTACTCCAAAAGAACATAACACGGACATTTCCTGTTCTTTACGTTTGATAAATCTGTCCCTAAAAATCATCTAATTCTCCCAGATTTTCAAGTTAATCGGCATAACTTCATATTCTTAGTAACCGTTTTTCTCTTTTCTAGTATTTCTCATTTCTAGTATTTTGTCTTTATATTCTTTTCTCTAATAAAACTTTCCAATTAATATTAGTTTATTGATCGAACTGCTTATTGATTTCATTTTGTATTTTTGTTTTAATACCATTAGTTGCTGAGATTATTTTTCTGTGTGGGCTACCAATGCGGGCTTGCCCGCCCCTCAACTGCACATGTGCTTGTGTCTCCCAGCCCGAGGCATCTCTGTC